CGGGGTCTGAAGGGAAAACAACAAAAACTGGGTGGTTCCCGAAGGCCATCCGGTTCAACTGAGCTTTGGAGCCCACTGAAAGCGAGCCTTTTTGGCGGGGGATCTGAGGGCAGCCCAGAGGAAAACTGGGGTGGGAGGGGAGGGGAGGTTGGCAGGTTGGGTTTCAAGGGAAAGACCCTCAAACTACCCTTGAAAAAGGGAAGTTGCACCATGCTTGCGGGCGATCGCCCATGTTTTGGGTGGGTGGTTTGAGGGTTCAGGTACCCGGTAGGGTGGGTTTGAAGGGAAGACTGAAGGAACAATGGGGTGGGTGGGGTGGGGGAGGAGGGAAACCTGCTTTGCGGGAGGCGGGGGGTAGGGGGTGGTGGGGTTCCCCTTGTTTTGACACATACCCAGATTTGATGCTTTGCATTTTCCCGATTGTCCGGTCAGATGTTCATTGGCATTTTCCCTGTGGGTCTTAGGTTGACCTCGTAGGTCAACGTGATACGTGTTTTGCTGTGGGGGATCAACTCGTGACGGAACCCAAGGAATCCTTCTCTCCAAACAACATGGAAGTGGACAGCAGACTTTTGTACACAGGTAAGTAGTAGTCTTGCAAGCCCTTCCAGTCCATTTCCACAAGTGTTGGAACGGGAGTACCAGTTCAGAAAGCAGGAGGCGTTCCGTCATCATTTCGGTTTCTGATCGGCTTACCTATGCCGCCGCGCTCGTGAGAGAATTCCCAACCTCTGATTTTGGTGAAGAGCAGGGTTGGCCGAATGTGATTTAATCAACCAGAGGCTGGTCCGCTTGAAAGGCAAACTAAGGAGGTGGTGCAGTATGCTTAAGCAAGTAGCTGGCCGCTGAACATCGTTTTGACTCGCGTGATCGACGCGTCGATGAGGTCCCGGGCTGTGCAAGCAGTTGAGTTTATCACTGGTTTGTCTAGCAGCGGTTTCTCGGATTTGGGCGTGAGGAGTGACCATTTCCCCCCCCAAACCACGAGCCCGATGTGCGCTTCGAAACCGCTTCCCGACCCCCGATGCAGAGGTCGTCTCCAAAAAGTGGGCGGGCGCCTGAGCCTGGCGGTTTTCCAGTCTGTTCCAAGGGGCCATGTTGGTGACGCCGAGCCCAATTTTGGAGCCACACTCACGTTGACGTCTATTTTTTCTTGGAAAGGGCGTGCATCCGGCGGGCAATATTTATTTCTACTGAGCCTCCTTCTGGGGTTTTGGGCTTAGACAACCGTTCTTGTGGTCGCGAATCGTGAAACGCTCGTGGTGAGCGCGAGATTCATGATCCATGCATAGATTTTGGCGGAGAGCGAGCCAAACATCGGCTCGCGGCCTTTCAGGTGCTGAAGACCATGGTTTGTTCTGCACCATGATGTGCTGTGCCAGGATGTTGATGCGAGGTTATGCAACATGCCCAGAAGGTACCCTTGGAGGATGGTTTTTGAGGGGGTTCCAAGGAGTCATATGGTAGCTCCGAGAAGGTACCCAGGGACCCTTCGGGATGATCTTACCCGATCTGATTCCGCGCGTGAGCTGATGTTCAACGGTTGAGATCCAGCGGTCCCAATGACTCACAATGAGACAACACTTTTTGGGCCAATTTAAGATGTGGTTGGGTGATGTGGGGGCCGGGGGGGGGGGGTGGTTTTTTTGGGAGCCCCGAAAAAGGTGGTTGCCAAAGGGAGTGACCCGGACTCACGAAACCCATGCCGCTGAAAGCGATCCTTGAGAAGACGTCCGTGGGAACCCGAATCTCAGAATGAGTTTCAAGCGGGTGAGCCACTGAAAGTCGGACATATCTTCATGGCTATTTGGTTGGATCTTTGGACGTAAAAACCTGTTGGTTGGAACAGGTCGGATTTTCCGAATTGGACCCACACAAAGTGAACAACGAAGCAACCAAGATATCTCGCACACTTCAAGTTCAAATCGGGGCCTTAAAGGGACACATACTGTGTGTGGATGGACGGAATCCTGCACCACTTTAAAACCATGAGAAGCCATTGTTTCTGAGTATTTACAGGGGAATCATCATTGCAGGGTTTCTTAGGTGGTGCGAAATGGAGTTCGTCCATCCACAGTAGGGTTGACCCAACCACCAGCGACGACTTTCCTCGAGGCCGCTGCTCTGGAGATATTTGGCTCTTTGGGCCATGCAGAGGCACCGCCTGGTCGAAAGCGGATGGCAGGCAAAGCCACTGCTATGGAAGTCGACGTTTTGGGGTCTCCAAGATAAACGTCGTCTTAAACCTTCCTCTTAGATTCCGTATTTGAGGAGGTTTTTGGGCCCAACAACCAGTTGACCCCCGAGTTCGGGTCCCCTGCAAACAAAACACCTTGGCTTGGTCCCTGCTTTCCCGCGGATGTTGCTCGCGCAGAAATGGGGTCTAAGAAAGGGCTGAAGAGGCCAAGGGCGAAACCTTGCAATTTGCTTCACGGAACCCCTAAAAAGTGTCCTGAAAAGAGATTCCTTTAGTCCACAAATGGAACAATACAACAGATCCTTCATAGTTTGCGATTACACTAACCCATTCATTGGCTGACCAACCGACCACCAAAGTTGCTTCAAAGAAGCCAGCCGTGCAGCTGGTTTTCTGCTTCCCTGTTCATCTACAGGGGAGCAAAACGGTGCTCAAGCTCAGATCCGGATCGAGCAACGAGTCGGCAGGTGGAGGTCAACAAGTATCTGCGCTCTGCTCAGATTTCGATTTGCCTGTTAGCAGCATGGAGCTGGTACCCTTTTGGGTTGATACTTGGTGGCAGCGTGGCGGGTAGCTCCTATTTTTTATGAAGTTGGCGCCCTTTGGCTCTTTTGGGGTCTTCTCTGCATGATTGGGGTAGGCTGAAAAAGTGTGTTTGGCGGGACTCGACTGTGGGGTCGCGAACCCTGGTACCCTAGTCCCCGGTTTTGTTGTTGTTCATTTCTTTTCAATTCCGACTATGGCTAAAACACCTTTCATTCGTGTCTTTCGCTACAGGCGAGGGGGTTTTCTTTTTGATCGTGCACTTTTCTCATAGCATGTACATATACTTGCCTTCACCCAACGCGGTGTCTGGCTCAAGCTTTTACCCCGGCAACTCTTTTCCGCCATTCTCGTCGTGGCGCCCGAAAGCAGCGCGGAACACAATCTGCGAGCAAAAAGCCGCGGGCTGCGGCTTGGGACTTGGGGTTGGGGTTGCTTTTTTGCTTTGAGAAGGCATCGCCCCCAAGGCCTTGGAAAAGGCAAGCCAACGAGCTTGGAATGCTCGACGCCTTCACTTGAAGGCCTGGACTGCCTTGGAAAGGCACGAAGCCTCCAAGTCTGTCTATAAGTTTGTTCACGTGAGACAGCAGTCATGATTTGCGTAGAAAAAACAATCTCTAGCCTTGGCTGCGAATGGCCGACAAGCTGAGAACTTGCTTGCGTGAGCTCACTTTTCTGCACTCAGATGTGTGGCTTGCACGTTTTGGCTCAGATGCCCAAGGGCTGGAAACTTGAAAAGAAAGGGGAATTGTTAAGTCTAGAAGGCCGCAGCGGCCGTATGGGAGTGACGGCGGGCGCGGTGCCCACGATCGCCAGACAGAACACGCGCCCGCCTTGGGCCCGCACCTGATGCCCCTCCAAGACTGGACGACGGCCCTGGTGAAGGGCGGGGAGCGCCGCGCGCAAGAGGACCACCCCGGCAGAGCTGGCGGCGGCGGCAAAGGAAGAGGCGCGTCTTTTACCAGGGCTGGATCAGTCCAGCAATTCTATGAGGAGTAAGCAGCCCAATGCATGCCACTAATGGAACCAAGTAGGGAGGCTCTGGCGCCCTGCCGTGGACGCAAAGCTGTCCTGGTGCCCTATTCCCCTTTTTGTTGCTGTTCATTTTTCAATTCCAACTACGGCTAAGCGCCTTTCACTCGTGTCTTTCGCTACAGGAGGTGTTTTTGGGATCGTGCGCTTTTCTCATAGCATGTACATACTTGCCTTCACCCAACGCGGAGTCTGGCTCAAGCTTTTACCCCGGCAACTCTTTTCTGCCATTCTCGTCGTGGCGCCCGGAAGCGGCGCAACGCCGTCTCCGGGTGGCAGGCTGCGGCTTGGGAGGTTGTGGAGGTGGGTCAGGGCTTGGAGTTGCTTGTTTGCTTTGCTGCTTTGCTTGGCTTGTGCGCTCTTCTGCTGTAGTGCTGCTGCTTCGCTGCTTGCCTTGCCTGCACTTGGTGTTGGTTCGTGTTTGTGCCGGCCGGGAGCCGCTTTGCTCTTGGGACGGGGCTGACTGGCTTTCCTTTGTTGTTGGTGGGTTTGAGCCTCTTGGTTGCTTCCCGAAATTCTGTTTCAAACCCTTTCACAAAAAGTTTTGGGGGCTTCGCAGTGGTCAAGACTCCTGGGCTGTGGTCGTCCCTTGCCAAGCATCCTTCTAAGGCTGGCAATCACTGAACGTTGAACTGCCAGCGTCCATGATTTACTTTTGGTTCCTGTCCCTGAATCCTAAGCCCGTATTTGCAAGTGATCTGTCTTTAGCCCGTTCGGATTCTGAAACAGAGCCATGCACACGAGGCGCCATGTATCTTGCAAGCTTCTTCAGCGACATATCCAGTTTCCTGTCCAGGGAAGGGAGGTTCCATATTGCAAAACTAGGCCTCCTTTTGCGCAACCCGCCAACTCCAGCGAAAAGAGGTCATGCCAATATTCAAGTCCCGGAGTTCCCAATTTGGCCCTTCGCCTCCATGGGCATTCGTGCCGAGTCTCAGCACTTGCATGCGAGCCTACGCCGAGGCGGGAGCTCGTGCGCGTTTCCGTTTTGTTTGGGGGGAGCCGGGGGGTGGGGGGAGGAATGGCGAGATCTTGTCAGGGGTAACACTTGGTGGCTTGGACGCCCTCCAAACCAATGGCGGAAACTGATCCGCGGACGCAACTTTCCCAGCCCCCCTGCCACTGCCACTGGCCTTTGACCCCAAATGGGTCGCTACACCCGCGGGTGCAGTGGTGTCAAACAGGTGCCAATCATTTTTCGCATGGCCACTGGTCTGGATCTTGCAGAATGGAAGGTGTGCTGTATCAGGACAGAGCTAATTCAGTCACACTTGCAGATTGGATTGCTTGATTCCTTTTGTTGAAGGGATGCCCGGCGGGACCGGCAGGCGGCGTGGTGGGAGCAAGCACTTGCGCAGCTGGCAGCGGCACTGAGGCGGGCGGTTGGGTGGGTTGGGTTCAATCTAAAGGCCAAACCACGTATCCCTGGTTATGATCCTCAGGCATCCCTTTTGTGAACGTAGTTACATTCCCTTTTTCTGGTTTCCAGTGTTGGTGGCAAAACAAGCCAGACATCATCCCAGCCTGTGTGCCATACTTTTGCAAAATGTAAGGCGAACTCACCTGGCAAAATAACGAGCTCACAATGATAAAGGCCCTTTACTTGGACATCCCTAAACTTGATTAGCAAAATTAACAGATACCTGGCCACTATGGTGCACCCTTTCGGGAGTTTCGACATCAGGATTCCTTTCTGGGACCCATACTCTGACTTGGGCTTCCAAAGCTGGCCTCTTGGCCGACTGGTGGAGCACTTTGTCCACCCACAGGGTTTCCCTTTTTTAGCCCCCAGTCCAACTTACCAAAAATCGGCCCGGCGGGCCGGCTGCGTGCCGCCGCACGCGGCCGCTTTTTTTCGCGCGCCGCGCGAGGCCGGATGAGCGCAGCATCTCGGCGGATGCTGTGCTCTTCGGAGCCCGGAGGCCCAACTCGCGCGGGAAAGCCGTGGAAGCTCAAAACCGATGGTACCAGTTTGGGGTACGGGATTTTGACGGGCCAGTTTTTGCTTTACTTGGAAGTTGTGATCTCAGGTTTGGGAGTTGTACAACTGGCAGATTCATCAACCGAACCGGACTGTTCAAAGATGTTCAAAGGCCGGCAATCCTGAATCCTTTGGGCTCGCGTAAGGCGTCCTTTGCAATGGCTTCCCTCTACCAGGAGCCTCAAAAACCGATGAAAATGTCATACCTACAAAAAACACGATGTTTTTGGGGAAACACGATGTTTTCGGGAAACACCGCATTTTCGATTTCAAGCAGTTTCCCATACATTCCTTCAACTCGTCATCCGTTCTCAAAAGATCTCAAAAGCATCATCTCAACCTCAGAATCTCCCATCGCCCTCCCCTTTTGCACTCGCAACGAAATCAGCTTCGCATTCGCCACTCGTCTTTCGCAACTCCAACCTGAAAGAAGGAGGCCGGGGACCCAAATAGTCAAAAGTACAACGGTTTTATGACACTTGTCAAGCAGCAGTGCCATGATGAGGGCGTGCTGGCTTCGAACAGCGCGCAAGCTCAAGCAAAGACCGTGCTTTTGCTCACGACTTCGTTGTTTTCCAGCAACATTCTCGAATTAAAAAACCCATAGAATTTCCACGCTTTGCCACGCTTTACTACGGGTTCTCCACGGTTTAGCTACGGGTTAGAAAACACGATGTTTTCCAAAAACACGATGTTTTCGGTTGGGGCTGCGGGCTTTCTACGGGTTTCTACGGGTTTTCTATGGGTTTCTACGGGTTTTCTACGGGTTGCTGCGGTTAGCCGCCAGGATCCCGCCCCATTTTCTAAAAAGCAACTCAAAATTGATAAAAACAATCTCAAAAGTGTCACCTGATCTTGTTTTGCACCAAAAGGAGCTTTCGGATTCCAGCACCCCCTTCAAACTGGTTCGGTATGACCTGGCGCCAGTCTTCAGGTGCCTGTTGCTGTGAAAGGTACTTCAGAATAGAGCGTTGCCCTCAGTTGAAATCTTAATGGGTGATGTCTGTGTGAATCCACTCCCGACCCTTGCCTTTGACCCTTTGCTCCAAATGAGTGTTTGGCCTCAGAAGCCCATTTTTAAGGGGTGTTATCAAAAACACGATGTTTTTCCTGAAAACACGATGTTTTCAGAAAATCGTGAAAAAAACACGATGTTTTAGTCAGGGTACGACATTTTTACAGGTTCTTGAAGCCCTAGGTATAGGAATTATGGGTTCGGATTGGCTCACCCTCCGTTTTTGAACAATCCAGGTAAACAATGGCCGCCCCTTTGGTAGCCGAAGGGAATCCAAGAGGAAAGCGTTGCCTCAATCAACCAACACACTAGGGGTTCATACGAGGGGTGAATATTCTACGGGTTCATACAGTGAGCCTTTGAATGCGTCTCATGTGGGGAGCTTGTGCGGTTTGTGGATGAAAATCCTAGTTGGGAAGGATGAAGCCCTGCAAGTGCTGAGACAAACCACCTGCTAACTGATGTACGATGTTCGCCATCCACAGCCTAAACAAGATTCCGTCATGACCATGGGACGTGGAAGTATTTATAGGCCCTTATACCACTGCCTGCACGTCACCTGGTTTGGACCACATCTTTCTTGTTGTTGATTTGCCCGGCACTTCCCTTGTTTTGTTCGAATCCACTTAAAATGGAGGCATCGCCAGTATGCAATACAACTCAGTAACTATGGAACATATTCAGAGCAAATACGATTTCATAAACCTAGCCTAGGCCGATTCGGAAACCAAACACGACTCAGCAACTAAGATTCAGGAACAACTACCTTCTTCGATTTAGCAGCTAAAACCGCGCGATTCAACAACTACGATTTAGGCATTATGGCCTGATTCTGGAAATTCCATTCAGCAACTGCAGGGGCCGAGTTCTGCAGCCGTTATCTATGTATGGATCAGGAAGTAAAAGGGCCCGGCGCAGGAACCAAACATGCTGGTTCAGCAACTACAATTCCGAAGCTGCAAAGGCCTGAGTCAGCAACACCAAGGTCACACCACTGAGCGAACAACTTAAGGCAACGGAAGGCGAAGCGGGTTGGGGATGAAAAGCTTCGAGCCAGCTGCAACAGGCACGTTGGGGGTAGGTTGGCGACGGGTGTTGTGAGAGCAAGGCCTTCGTGGCTTCCGAATCAGGCCATTTTTTTTCCGAATCAGACCGTTTTAGTTTTCCGAATGAGTAAACAATCGCGAGTCAGGAATCCGAATCAGAACGCTTTAGCTTTCGATTCAGGCCGCGTTAGTTAGTCTTGGAACCGCATGTAGTCAATGTTTTGTTCAGTTTCCGAATCAGATAGGAGGATTAATCTCCGAATCATTTCGTTTCAGTTTCGGTTTTCGGTTTCCGAGCAATACCTTTGAGACTCCAACAAGACCTTTTAGTTTCTCGAATCAAACCTCCCCGCGAACATCCGGATGTTTGTTTAGCTCAACCGAAAGCCACCGGGTCATGGAGTCCTTTTTGGGGATTTTCAAGGGAAACCAACAGTTTTTTGTCTGAGGGTGGGGTGGGGGTTTCTCTTATTAATAAGAGAAAGTCTCTTAGAAAAAGAAAAGACGAGAAAGACCATTTTAGAAGTCCGAGTCCTAAGAATGATAGACAAACCCAATTGGGGTAGCCAGGGCTCCTGGGCTTTGGGAGGACCAAGAAGGTCAGGCAATGGCGCAGAACTCGCAGTTGAACCAAGAACAGAACAACGTGCATCCAAAAAAACAAAAAACCATGCATACATACGGATGTGGATGGGCAAACCTGGTGCTACTGGACTCTCTGCACTTTCTTGGAAACAAGGGGGTTTCAAGCAGGGCTCTCCTTGGGCTACCCCGTTTTGGGGGTCTCCAGTGGCGGCAATCCATGCGGGCGTCCACCCCGAAACTCCTGGCACCTCTTCTAAGCCCCCGAAACCCCCAAACTGTTTGCGCCCCTTGATCCAATGACAACCCTGAGCCCCCAAGACTCTAAGCCCTGAACACCCGAAAACGGTCTACATGTCCCGGGCTTCCGGAAAAAACAAAAAACAAACACGCTCCCAGGTGTGCATCACAAGCTGTGGGAAGGCGGGCAAGCGATTTGTTGCGGAGCGGGGACATTGCCAAATGGGTGTGGCTCAAAATCAAACAGGAGGGGCAAACCGCAGGTTTTGGTCCATGTTTCCACTTACCAGGGTTCCATTTTGGTGCCGGGTTTTTTGAGCCACAGCCAAATGGGTCGTTCGACTTTTTTGGGGAGTTGGTATCCCGCGTTTCTTGCTGGTGCGATGGGTAGGGACTGGGTTGGAATGAACCCAGGGGTTCTCCCTTAATGCAAACCACAAGGACGGTTGATAGGGGTTAGGCCCTCATTCCTGGCTGAGCACCAGCAAGTGTTCTGGGAGGTTCAAAAGAGCAAAAGGACACCCCCCCCCCATTTTGGGGGATCCGAATCCGAACAGTTCAAAAGGGGCTCAACAGTTTCCGGTTCTGGACGTCGGTGCCCACATGATTCAAAATAGTGGACATCACCTTTCTAAATGGAGATCAGGGAACGAATTGTAGTCAGCCCCGCAGTGGTTGGTGGACATCAAGTCGAAGGGCCCCAAATAGAAATTCATACCCTAAAAGTCGACCCTCGCGGACATTCAGCCCAAAATGCAATGTTTTGCTAGTGGACATCAATCCCCGATGGGGGGGGGCTCAAAGTAGGAATCGGCCTGCTTGACATTTTCCCAAACTGGATAAAGCGCTTCTTGTCTGTGATACCAAATTGGGCATCCCCATGACTACCTTATCACTTCATGGCCGCAAAACCCATGTGAAGCGAAACCACCAAAAGGGGGTCCGATCCCAAAAGTGGTTTCCTGTTCAAAAGTGAGGTTGAAGAGGTTCTCTGTCAATTTAAGTGCCACACCCATGTGGAAAGTAGTCGAGTTTTCGTTTTACAAGTCTCTGTGAAAGTATCCACTGGACCTGGGGGGAACTACATGGGCCAAGCTGCACCAAAGGAGCTGCAAAGGGGCTCACTTTGCAAGGGCCAAGAAGCCCACCTTAGCCTTTGGATCATGTAGTTGAGATTGTTAGATATTTGTTGGACCCCTTTGGATGGTTTCATCTGTTAATTTCAATTGAGTATATCCGGACCACCCCCCCCCCCCTTTTTCCCTCCCGGCGCATTTGGCGTGCGCAGGCTTCGCAGTGGCCGTGGGCACTGCAGATGCTGCAGGCAGGCAAGACGAGAGCTACGGTCCATTTCCAAAGCTTGGCGTTTCGGGTCCAAATGTGTTGGGCAGCCCGTGGCTTTGTGCACCCCCCGGTTGGATGGCTATTCAATGGGCAAACGCGCACGCACACACACAAGCGCGTACGTTTTTTTGGTTTTTGAAGGCAATCTTGTGCAAGGGCCCGCACCAATAGGAGCAAGCATTCGGCCGTGCCGCGTGCGCTGCGACTTGCACAGCATGTGAGCCCTGGCCACTTTGCACTCCGTGCCAGCTCCACCTGATCCCTTCAACGGGTCCAATGATCCTCAGGGTCATGGCATTCCTGAATTCAGGTTTCTGCAAATGTTGCATTCCTTCCGCGAGCCATCTTGTGGGGAGGCGATGGAAGAAACTTCGCCAGGAGATGCGGCGCTGGGACACGCCGCCCAGCTCGGGCAGCCGGGGGCTCGACAAAAAAAGAGGACGGTCTTTGGACCCGGAATTCGGACCACCTTCCCGGAGAGACCCAGAACCTGGGCTTTCTGGTCAGGGCAGAGCTGCAGGTCCCGCAGTCGAAGCTGCAAGAGAGGTCTGGACTTCCGTGGCTCTTTTCTTGAAAAGGATACCAACTCGAATGCCCCGCATAGCCAAAGTACCTTAAAGAGAGTACCAACTCGAAGAAAGCTTTCAACCAAAAGAGTACCTAAAACGACCCAACTAAACAGGTCCTTGAAGGTGTACCCTTCCCAGTGGATGCCAGTCACCCAAATCCTAGGTAACCCTTGCCCTTAGGTTCCACTGCTTGCCTGGGCCAGCCATGTTTTCATTTAAAAAAAAACCCTCCACGAGTGGTTTTCCTTTCGTTTCCCTCGGCTGATACCCCAGAGATTCCCCAACTACAACTCCCCAAAAGGGGACGGGGGGAGGGGGAGGCAATTCCCTGGATCCTTTAGTGTCGGCACCGACCCAGTTGAATGGGAACTCTTTGAGAAACCAAACCAACATATAAACCAACTGGTTCAAAACCCATACTGCTTTGAGCAGCGAAACATACCTATTACGAATAAATACAACCCCTTCCCCCTAGCAGCAAAACGTGCTGCGGAGTTGAGGCCACAACTCCGTGCTCTTCGCCTGCGAGCGCGCCAGTGCCTGGAGGCCAGCGACGGGATTCGACCGAAAACGAGAGAGCGACGAAAGCGACGAAGACGAGAGATGGATTCGACGGTTTGGGTGAAGGGTGACGAGGCCCTGCAGGGAGTTCGCTTGGGTTTAGGTTTAGGTGGTTTAGGTGGGGAGTGTTTAGGTTTAGGTTGCGTTAGGAATTGGGCTTACGTTTCGCCCTACGACTCGTGGCATCTCTGATGATGTCCGGCACCTTTCCCGCTACAACGGAGGGTTTGAGGATGCTCATAGGGAGCTTGGTAGTTGGTTGTTGCTTTCCCAGAGGCTCCCGATTGATTTAGGGCCTTCAGACAACCTGGTTTTGAGACCCGCCCAACCACCTGCGGGGTGTCTAATGGAGGGGTCGGGTCTTCCATTGAAAATGCCAGGAGTCTGGGTTGTTAAGTCCAGGTGTTAAGGTGTTGGGTTTGCGGTTTTGTTGGCCAGTTGCTGGTTTCGTGCTTGTTGTGGTGTTGTTTAATTGGGCTACTATATTTCAGGAGTTATACTATATATAGATACTGATACTGGTTTTATGTTTTGTGCGTTTCCTTTTGGTCTGGGTATGTCAGGCTGAGTAGGTTGCGTGGATATTTCCCGAGAGATGTGGAATGAACACGTAAATGTTTAAATAAATTAAAGGGCCGAGGGGGAAGAAGTGGCAAGGGATGAAGAGAATGGGATGGTCTCGCCATAGTTCTCCTTAGCTTTGTTCTTTCAAGAAGTCTGCTTCCCAAGCCTCTGAACAAGGACCTTGATCATAACTCGGGTCTCCTCCAAAACTCCACTCTTTAGTGGTTGGATTTCCATTTAACCTGCTAAACATTAAACGTTTAGGGGGGATCTGAGGGCAGCCAGTACCTTCTGTACCAGTATTTGAAAGTCGTCAACCTGTTGGTCTTGCCAACCGTGCGTTGCAGCAGCCACTGCCAAGGCAAAGCACATGGGTTTGTCTCATGTTTTTGTTGGATGGTTTCCATTTGGTTTCCTTTCGGAACCAAACAAACAAGTGCCCCCCCTTAACCTTGACTGCTATTGGGTTGGATCTTTAGACTTTAGCTTTTTGGAGAGTCAAGGAGTTTTTCACTAAACCCACAAAAGTATAAACTTTTTGCAGAGGGTTCAACAGCAACCAAGGGCTATCTAAACCCCTTGGGCAGAAAAAACCTCTGAAATTCGGCGTTACAGCCAAGACCTTTCTTGGGGTTTTCCAAAAGGATTAAACAAGCAAACACCGGAAACCACACCAGAATACAATGGAGCCGTTGCTGTCACGAAGCTCCACCGAACAGCGGTGTGGCTTCACTCCCGAGCACAGAACTCTTGTTTGGTGTTGGACAAGGGCCATGATTGATGTTGGCTTGCTGAAAATGGCATGTTTTTCCCTGAAAGCCACCGAAGAAGGGGTCCGTCGTTTTTTCTCAAAAAAGACGCATATATTCATATTCCTGCAGCTTTTAAGCCAATTCTTTCCCAGTCCTCCAGCGTTTTTTTACTGGTTGTTCTCCAGGCACGCGGTGGCTTTGCTATGGGAGGCGCAGGCGGAGTGAGTGAATTTTCGGGAAGGCTCGGGGTCCGTTGGTGCTGGCTCTCCTCGGATTGTAACTTGGCGGTTTGCAGTCTGGTTGCTCAGGTTTCAGGTTCGGGTTAGTGGGGTTTCCATTGAACCCGCTAAGAAAAAACCATGCGGTTGTTTTTGGCAGAGGATCTGAGGATAGCCCTAGTAAGCCTTGCCGGCCGAACTTTTGTTTTGCCAGGGCAGCTTCCAGGAAATTCCTGATGCACAGCGCCGAGCTCTTTTTTTCGAGCCCAGGACAACCCTCTTGGAGATTTCGTCCAAATTACAAGTAAATCACCCAAATCCAAAGTCATGGGCGGGCGATATGTACTGCCATCTGCTGAAATATAAATTCCATGTGCCTCCAAAAGTGGCGATCGCTTCAATGGACACCATTCAATTGAGCTGTTGATTTTGGGACGTCCCAGCCCCTGTTTTGTTTTTAGAGGATACTCAGGCGGTTCCCTGTGGCCATCAGGCCCTATCAGACCTGGGCAGCTTCAACTCGGTGATCAGCTCGCTGGGGCCTCGGATTGCCACCTGGCTCGTCTTTCTTGGAGTCGGTGGCATGTTTTTTTTGAGTCGGTCCCCTCCTACTGTAGATGGACACAATCCATTTCGCACCAAATTAAAACCATGGGAAACCACTGTTTGTTGGTATTTACAAGGGAATCATCATCCCATGGTTTCTTAGGTGGTGCAGGATTTCGTCCATCCACGTGAGCAGTCTGAAGGCGTGCACTTGGGCTCGTATTTTTGGAGGGTGCCTTTTCTTAGGTCGGTTCAAAGGGAAGCCAAAAGGACATTACCATGTTTGGGTCCCCCTATTTTGACACATGAGCGACTGCCTGTACATATAGAAGACTACAGCAAAGGCCGGGCGGCACCATGTGTCGGGTAGCATACTGATTTGTAGGTGCAAAACGAGGCACAAACGTATGTGGCGTTGCAGAGCAAGTTCAATGAGTCCAAACGGGTGCACGCTTGGAGAGCGAGGCTGGCCTTCCAACCAAACAGCCGTAGCTCACATATGGCTGTGGGTCAAAACCAATGGTAGCATTTTGGGGTAGGTGCACCACCCATTTTAGTCGGGATTTTAGTGGGGATTGGGATGCTCACTGGGGGTACGACTTGGATTTTGACCCATGGCCTTTCGTTGCCGAGGTGTGGCAAAGGCCAGCAGTGGAGGTGGTCCGTTTCGTTGATCCCGCGGATGAAGGACAAGGACGCTGCGGGGGTTTTCGTTTTTTTGCCTGGGATCTTTTCTTCAGTGCCTCATTCTGGCTGTTGTTTTTTGGAAAGTGCGAATGGAAGCCAAGCATTTTGGGGGTACCCGCTAGTTTGAGACAGACCCACATGTTCTGGCTCATCAAAAATGGAGTACTCAACATGTGTTTCTGGTTGGGGTGTTTCAAGCTGAGGAGAGGAAGCACCAGCCCCCGAGCCCACGGCTACATACATACATGTTTTGTACATAATACATACTTCCAATTGCTTAAGTGTTTGTTCTATTTACTTTTCCCTGCTGTGTTTAAAGGGAATCTATCACTACTGGATTTTTGTTCAGAGGTCTTAACCAAATGGACGTATATTTAGATATAATTTGTATATATATATGTACACATATATATATATATAAACATAGTATAATGATTTAATTACATATATATATATATATATGTAATGTAAGTATATATACATATATATATATATATGTATACATGTGGCATTATGAATCCACATAGGAGCGGTACAACTGCCTTCTTGGAAGAAGCAGGCGTAAGCCAAAAGGTAGTCTACAGAATCACGCAGCTGTACCTCACTCCCCAAGGTCGTCGACTGGGGCCTGTCGTTCTTATGGCGCCCGTTTTGGGGTTGGCTTACAGGGACGCCACGGGGAAAGCCGTCCCGTACTTCATACAAGACACCCCCACTTCTTTCTAGAAAATTGGAAGGCCGATGGAGTGGTAAGCCAACCACTTGACAGTTTTGTGACAACATTGGTGAGCTCCAAAGTTGACCGAGTTGGCATGATATAAATTAAACATGGAATTGGGGGAGGGGTGACTGGAGATCAGCCCATCTGCAGCCCATTTTCTCCAATGGAACAATTTTGGGCCCACCTCTTCGGTTGGGATCCCGCCCCTGCGCCGAAGAAAAACATGCCCAGAGTCGCAACGGCCAGCGCCCAGCAACCTCCTCACTTGCTATTTGTCGGGTCTGTCGTGAACCATGCCGTGAAAAAGGATCGCCGGCGTTCGAAGTTGGCGGAAGCGAAACATCTCACGGCTCCAAGAGAGCCGAAGGGCCTAAAAGTGACGAACGTCAATGGTGTCCTTTGCTCCGGGAGGGTTGCTTCGCTTCGGAGGAGGAGAGAAGCTTTGGGCTTGGCCTCATGAGTCCGCCCAGCTTCGGAGGTTTTCGTTTGGCCCCTCACGCCGATTCCGAGGAGCTGATGCCGGATGAGGTCACCTGGAACTCCTTGCTGAGCGCTTTGGGGTGCGGAAGCTCAACTTGGCGTCTGTCCGAATGGGTGTGTCTGGGATCACCCCCAAATGGTTGGCGTCCCCGGAAGCCTCAAAAACGGGGTAGCCTCGAAACAGGCAGACCCGAATGGGGGCGCGTTTTTTTTTTGCTTCTCCCCCCCCGGATTTGGGTGAGTGTTGTGTTGAGTTGATACCCTTTTTTGGAGTTTGGATTCAAGGGAAGCCAAAAGGAAATTAACCAGTTTGGAGGTCCCCGTATTTTGAGACAAACCAATCTCTCCATCTTTTTTGACATCACTTTGGGGTATTCTTTTGATATTTTGGATATTGGTGCAAAGATAGTCTTGGGAAGCACTCTACCGGCTTCCACTCAGCAGCTCGTGGAGTATGCTGAGCAGGGTATCTAGGCTAAATAGAACGAGGGCGAGCATCCAACGTGTGGTTTGGTTGGGGGGAAACTCTGGGTAGTTTTGGATGTTATTTGTGTCGGGTCGCAGAATGGATGGGTGTTTCCCAATATTGCATTGCCCCCCAAAGATAAACAACCAACAACGGACAGTGGAACTCGCTCCACCAGCAGAGCCTCGAACTCGAACTTGAGAGTCGAACTCAGTGTTCGAGAAGCAGAAACACCATGTTGCGCAACCTCTTGGTTCATCAATTTGGCATAATGCAACGTATTTATCAGCATGTTGCGAGATCACACGGTCGCGTGCAAGAATCACACGTATTTGCCCTTTGAGCTGAACGCCGTCTTATTGCGAGGACCACAAACACACAGAAAACATGGACGTTGCAGACTGCCATTTCGTGCACCTGCGAATTTGGAGTATTTTGCGCACTAGCCAGGGTTGCGGTGCTACCATACTACCTATATATATATATATATACATATGCATATTCCACACATTTGAGGAGGTTGATTTTGGAAGAGTAGTGGCTTGTTGCCTTCAAACACGCCAACACTTCATCCTGCTCGTAACTGTTAAGGTTCCCCTGCCAAGGCGAAAAGGACAACACATCAACTCATGGAATCCAATGCTTCCAGCTGCCACTCTCTGAATTCGGATACCCGACACTTTTACCTCTGGACGTCATGGCTTCCCTTACCTATGATGGTGACGGGTGGTATCAATAATCTTCCTTGGTTACCTGCTTCAATGGCACCCCCTTTCCAACAATCGTGGAGGTGAAGGGGCCTTGACTTGACTGCTAATTTGGATCTGTAGACTCTAACTCTTGGGAAATAAAGGTGTTTTCCACTCAACCGCCCAAAATATATATACTTTTTTGCAGGGGGTCAACAGCAACCAAGTTGAGGGGCACGGTCTTCCAAAATTCCTCTTCCCTTCCATGATTGGAAGAAGGGCAACCTCCTGAAGAATGGAGAAACCCTCAAAGAACGAAGCTGTGCACGGGCAACTGGAAGCACCGGGAAGCCCAAGGTCCATGGGCTTGTCTTGTTTTGGGACCCCAAGTGCTGGTTTTGGATTCTGGACCTTGAAACCCAGCAAAAGAGATGCGGCTCTTTGGTGAGTGTACTCACGGACCTGATTGCTGGATCAAGGCCCTAGGCCCTGGGCCCCGGATTTTTTTGGAAAGCTGCAAAGGGGGGTCCCCTCCAAACACCCCTTCCTTAAAAAATGCAAGCTAGAATTTGGAAGGTTTCAACGGGTACCCCACATGGGCCCCTTGCACCCCCAAACAATAAGCACCCCTTAGTATGGTCCAGCCCAGTAGTTCTTTACCCAAAACAAAAGGGCGATTTTCAAAATGAAACAGGAGTTCCCTCCAAAGACCCCTTCCTAAAAAAGATGCAAGCTAGAATTTGGAAGGTTTCAACAGGTACCCCACATTGGTCCCTTGCACCCCCAAACAATAAGCACCCCTTAGTATGGTCCAGCCCAGTAGTTCTTTACCCAAAACAAAAGGGCGATTCTCAAAATGAAACAGGAGTTCCCTCCAAAGACCCCTTCCTAAAAAAGATGCAAGCTAGAATTTGGAAGGTTTCAACGGGTACCCCACATTGGTCCCTTGCACCCCCAAACAATAAGCACCCCTTAGTATGGTCCAGCCCAGTAGTTCTTTACCCAAAACAAAAGGGCGATTCTCAAAATGAAACAGGAGTTCCCTCCAAACACCCCTTCCTAAAAAAGATGCAAGCTAGAATTTGGAAGGTTTCAACGGGTACCCCACATGGCCCTTAGTATGGTCCAGCCCAGTAGTTCTTTACCCAAAACAAAAGGGCGATTCTCAAAATGAAACAGGAGTCCCCTCCAAACACCCCTTCCTAAAAAAGATGCAAGCTAGAATTTGGAAGGTTTCAACGGGTACCCCACATGGGCCCCTTGCACCCTCAAACAATAAGCACCCCTTAGTATGGTCCAGCCCAGTAGTTCTTTACCCAAAACAAAAGGGCGATTCTCAAAATGAAACAGGAGTCCCCTCCAAACACCCCTTCCTAAAAAAGATGCAAGCTAGAATTTGGAAGGTTTCAACGGGTACCCCACATGGGCCCCTTGCACCCTCAAACAATAAGCACCCCTTAGTATGGTCCAGCCCAGTAGTTCTTTACCCAAAACAAAAGGGCGATTCTCAAAATGAAACAGGAGTCCCCTCCAAACACCCCTTCCTAAAAAAGATGCAAGCTAGAATTTGGAAGGTTTCAACGGGTACCCCACATGGGCCCGTTGCACCCTCAAACAATAAGCACCCCTTAGTATGGTCCAGCCCAGTAGTTCTTTACCCAAAACAAAAGGGCGATTCTCAAAATGAAACAGGAGTCCCCTCCAAACACCCCTTCCTAAAAAAGATGCAAGCTAGAATTTGGAAGGTTTCAACGGGTACCCCACATTGGTCCCTTGCACCCCCAAACAATAAGCACCCCTTAGTATGGTCCAGCCCAGTAGTTCTTTACCCAAAACAAAAGGGCGATTCTCAAAATGAAACAGGAGTCCCCTCCAAACACCCCTTCCTAAAAAAGATGCAAGCTAGAATTTGGAAGGTTTCAACGGGTACCCCACATTGGTCCCTTGCACCCCCAAACAATAAGCACCCCTTAGTATGGTCCAGCCCAGTAGTTCTTTACCCAAAACAAAAGGGCGATTCTCAAAATGAAACAGGAGTCCCCTCCAAACACCCCTTCCTAAAAAAGATGCAAGCTAGAATTTGGAAGGTTTCAACGGGTACCCCACATTGGTCCCTTGCACCCCCAAACAATAAGCACCCCTTAGTATGGTCCAGCCCAGTAGTTCTTTACCCAAAACAAAAGGGCGATTCTCAAAATGAAACAGGAGTCCCCTCCAAACACCCCTTCCTAAAAAAGATGCAAGCTAGAATTTGGAAGGTTTCAACGGGTACCCCACATGGGCCCTTGCACCCTCAAACAATAAGCACCCCTTAGTATGGTCCAGCCCAGTAGTTCTTTACCCAAAACAAAAGGGCGATTCTCAAAATGAAACAGGAGTCCCCTCCAAACACCCCTTCCTAAAAAAGATGCAAGCTAGAATTTGGAAGGTTTCAACGGGTACCCCACATTGGTCCCTTGCACCCCCAAACAACAAGCACCCCTTAGTATGGTCCAGCCCAGTAGTTCTTTACCCAAAACAAAAGGGCGATTCTCAAAATGAAACAGGAGTCCCCTCCAAACACCCCTTCCTAAAAAAGATGCAAGCTAGAATTTGGAAGGTTTCAACGGGTACCCCACATGGGCCCCTTGCACCCTCAAACAATAAGCACCCCTTAGTATGGTCCAGCCCAGTAGTTCTTTACCCAAAACAAAAGGGCGATTCTCAAAATGAAACAGGAGTCCCCTCCAAACACCCCTTCCTAAAAAAGATGCAAGCTAGAATTTGGAAGGTTTCAACGGGTACCCCACATTGGTCCCTTGCACCCCCAAACAATAAGCACCCCTTAGTATGGTCCAGCCCAGTAGTTCTTTACCCAAAACAAAAGGGCGATTCTCAAAATGAAACAGGAGTCCCCTCCAAACACCCCTTCCTAAAAAAGATGCAAGCTAGAATTTGGAAGGTTTCAACGGGTACCCCACATTGGTCCCTTGCACCCCCAAACAATAAGCACCACTTAGTATGGTCCAGTCCAGTAGTTCTTTACCCAAAACAAAAGGGCGATTCTCAAAATGAAAGAGGAGTTCCCTCCAAAGACCCCTTCCTAAAAAAAATGCAAGCTAGAATTTGGAAGGTTTCAACGGGTACCCCACATTGGTCCCTTGCACCCCCAAACAATAAGCACCCCTTAGTATGGTCCAGCCCAGTAGTTCTTTACCCAAAACAAAAGGGCGATTCTCAAAATGAAACAGGAGTTCCCTCCAAACACCCCTTCCTAAAAAAGATGCAAGCTAGAATTTGGAAGGTTTCAACGGGTACCCCACATTGGTCCCTTGCACCCCCAAACAATAAGCACCACTTAGTATGGTCCAGTCCAGTAGTTCTTTACCCAAAACAAAAGGGCGATTCTCAAAATGAAAGAGGAGTTCCCTCCAAAGACCCCTTCCTAAAAAAAATGCAAGCTAGAATTTGGAAGGTTTCAACGGGTACCCCACATTGGTCCCTTGCACCCCCAAACAATAAGCACCCCTTAGTATGGTCCAGCCCAGTAGTTCTTTACCCAAAACAAAAGGGCGATTGTCAAAATGAAACAGGAGTTCCCTCCAAACACCCCTTCCTAAAAAAGATGCAAGCTAGAATTTGGAAGGTTTCAACGGGTACCCCACATTGGTCCCTTGCACCCCCAAACAATAAGCACCCCTTAGTATGGTCCAGCCCAGTAGTTCTTTACCCAAAACAAAAGGGCGATTCTCAAAATGAAAGCTAGGAAGTTTCAACCCCCACATTGGTCCACCCCCAAACAATAAGCACCCTTAGTATGGTCCAGCCCAGTAGTTCTTTACCCAAAACAAAAGGGCGATTCTCAAAATGAAACAGGAGTTCCCTCCAAACACCCCTTCCTAAAAAAGATGCAAGCTAGAATTTGGAAGGTTTCAACGGGTACCCACATTGGTCCCTTGCACCCCCAAACAATAAGCACCCCTTAGTATGGTCCAGCCCAGTAGTTCTTTACCCAAAACAAAAGGGCGATTTTTTAAACATGAAACAGGAGTTCCCTCCAAAGACCCCTTCCTAAAAAAATGCAAGCTAGAATTTGGAAGGTTTCAACGGGTACCCCACATTGGTCCCTTGCACCCCCAAACAATAAGCACCCCTTAGTATGGTCCATCAGCCCAGTAGTTCTTTACCCAAAACAAAAGGGCGATTCTCAAAATGAAACAGGAGTTCCCTCCAAACACCCCTTCCTAAAAAAGTGCAAGCTAGAATTTGGAAGGTTTCAACGGGTACCCCACATGGGCCCGTTGCACCCCCAAACAATAAGCACCCCTTAGTATGGTCCATCAGCCCAGTAGTTCTTTACCCAAAACAAAAGGGCGATTCTCAAAATGAAACAGGAGTTCCCTCCAACCACCCCTTCCTAAAAAAATGCAAGCTAGAATTTGGAAGGTTTCAACGGGTACCCCACATGGGCCCGTTGCACCCCCAAACAATAAGCACCCCTTAGTATGGTCCAGCCCAGTAGTTCTTTACCCAAAACAAAAGGGTGAGGCTTAAAATGAAACAGGAGGGCCAAACCGCAGGTTTTGGTCCATGTTTCCACTTCCCAGTGCAACCCATTCTGGAATTCCGGTTTTTGGAGCCACAGCCATTTGGGTGTGGGTCAACACCAATGGGATCCCAGTTTTGTTTGGTAGGTGAATTCACCCATTTTAAAATCTATTTAGTGGTTGGATTGGTTGGTGTTCTCTGGGGGCCAACCGATTTGGGTTTTGAAAAGCCCATGGCCAAATGGGCGAGGCGCCCCATGAACTTGGCGCATCGCTGTCCCAGGGCAGCTGCTCAATGGCAGCGGGCGATGCGACTCTTTGAGGCCGAAAATCGGATCGGAGGTGCTTTCAGTTGCCATCCCGGGACCTGAAACCGGGGTTTCCCAATGGTTTCCACTAAAACTGCCACTTTTGGTTGAACCTCCAAGAGTGGCAGGTTAGTGGAAACCACCAGTGAATTAGCAACTTGTTGAAGGGAACATCCGGTGCCCCCTGTTGAAGATGAGGGCCTTTGACCGCAAAAAAGCAACGAGGGAGCCTGGGGCAAAGAATATTCTCACTCACGTTCCTGGACTTGAGCACTTTTTTGGAAAACAAAGGTCAGAAGCTTTTCCCATGACCTCGTATATCCTTTGCCAGGGCTCCACTGGGCCTCTTGAAGTCTGCTAAAATCCAACATGATAGGGTCTTCAGAGCACCCCCCTATCATTATTGCTATTATTTGTATTATGGCTGGACCAAGCCACAAGCATGATATTGATAGCTTAGTCGCTTGCTCAGGAGCACCCGACGAGGCTGGCGTGCAACGTGTGGAGCCTCAGGCGCTCGCAGCTTCGCGGCCAGCCTTGGCTGGTTCTCGGATCAAAGCCTTGGCTGGTCGGCAATTTCCAGTTTGCGCGGGCTGGTGAGCAGTTGCGCCAGCAACTGAGTTGTGTGAAAGGTGATGCCAGAAATGCGCAGACATGCCTTTGCCTGATGTGAGCTAGTCTAACCAGCAGAAAAGAAATGAGCACGCCAATCATGCAACAATTCCAAATTTCCCGGCTGGCAAGTTTCCCAATGTGATGCTTCCCATGCAATGTAATGACGAGTGGCAAAAAAGAATAGCACATGCCGTTGGGTTAGGTACCTGACAGTGCGTGTCGAGGGGGGGGGGGGGGCAGGGGCACGTGTTACCAAACCAAAGACTGGGAACATGTCAAACAAATATAAAAAGACATACATATATATATATATATATATGTATAAAAGTATGTATGTATATATATATATACACATATATATATGTATGTATTTCTATATATTATCAGAGACCAACACGCAAAGGCCAACTGCCCGTTTTTCCTGCGCAATGGAGGAGACGGCCGAGCGCAACGACGAGTAGCACCAAATATGTCTGTCATACACCTGGCACTCAAATTACGCATAAGAAAAGGCACATCACCCCATATGGGGCAAGAACCCCATTTTATGTGGACTTCTTTCGGGTCCGGGTTGCAAACACCATTGCAAACACGGCCACAACTCGGTCGGTTGGGGGCCCATTCCATCTAAGGGTTGTTGTATTGCACCCTGGGATTACACCCTTGAGAAATGGCCCAAAATGGTGCAGCATAACACGATGTTATCCCGGACATATGCCTAAATGGGGTCATTTCCCGGGCGTGATTTTGGGGTGCAACACAAAAGCCTTTAGAATCCCAAAAGACGGCCGCAGTTTGGTCTGCAACTTGAGGCCACCATCAGCGCCTGCGCCGGCGGCGCCGCCTGGCGCCAGGCCAGCGGCGGCTTCGTGTGGCGGGAGGTGGCCCGTTGGCACGTTGCGAGCGTTGGACCCAAGCAAATACGTGGGCGTTGTTTTTTTGTTTGGGGGGGGCAAAATGGCCTCATCCATGTTGGTTGACCAGCAATCATCCGAATTCCAGCTCATTCGTAAAGCTTGCAGTCATACCGGTGCCGGTGCTGGTGGGTGTTAGTTACTTTAATTTGGACCCCTGTGTGTTAGTTGCTCAGTTTTGGACCCCTGTTCCTTCAAACTCGAATGACCCCAAAGTACATTCGTCAGGGGTTCATTGATCATTGAACCATAGACTGGTAACTTTCAAGTAAATTATTCTTCGTCTTTCCGCGTGCTTTTTTGGGTAGGGGTGTAATCAATTCCTCTTCCATGGTTTTTTTTTTTGATAGGGGTAAACGACCCCAAAAGAAGAGAGAGACCCGTTTGTCTGAAACCTGGGGTACCCGTTTGTCTATGTATTTTAGGGTAGACGAAATACAAAACAGCGGTAGAAAGTATGGGTTTCTGTGTAGTCCACGGTGTCCTCTTGGTGTCTCTTCGAACGCGGAGATGACAAACCCCTCCCACAAAAAATCGGATCAGTCTCACTCAAAACAACAAGGCCATATTTTGTGCCCCGCCCCAAAGAAAACAACACCCATCTCCTATAGTCGTGGCATACAGTTTTCCTAAGGGCTTGAAGGTGATCCGGGCGCCCGATCTATCGGTCGCTTTGGCCGAGGCCTTGAGCCTTCTGCGGACGCCGAATGCTGGAAGACCCGAGGTGGGTCGCTTCAACGCGGCGATGACCGCCTGCGTCAAGGCCCGGACTGCCGGAGGGAAGCCTCACGCTCGTGGTGTTGGGCAAATCGGGAGGCCATGAATTTTGTTGGAACAGGACTGCGTTCGTCGGCGTATGCCTGGGAGTTGAAGGCCGTGCATGTTAAAGCCCTCAAACATGATTGGAGACTTTGTCCCCCATGTAGTTTAGGGTCCCCACTCCAAATCCATGCTCCGCTTCTATGTTTAAATACTGCACCTGGGATGGATAGGGCCCTACAAAATATGAGGAATCCTGGTGCAAAGCAGACAGCACGCACGGGAGAGGTGTTTCACATTGGAAAAAAAAAACAACAAAAAGAGCCGTGTTTTTTGTTTAATTATTTATGTGTCTGTTGTGCTTTTTGTTTGGTGTGAGCCTGTGTGAGCGGTTGCCTTGCGGTAGGACGGAAAGCTGCGGGATCTTGGCCCTGCACAAACGCTACGGTCAGCGAGCATCGGAAAACATGGTCAAAAACGTCGATTCTTTTGACCCACAACGTTCGTTTTGGGGTTTGTTTGATTTTGGGCGGGGGTTTTGGGGGGATTCTGTTTGTGAACCAAGTGAGAATCATAAACAAAGCTTTTTTTTTGAGTTGGCACATCAAAGAGAACCCCCCCCAATTTGAGGGGTCCAAATCCTGAAATAAAGACGAGCTCCCCTTGTGAGCTTGTAAAAGCCATCTCGGTGAAGATTGTGCCAGGGGCGCCATCCAAGAAGAGCTCTCCGCCTCTTCGGTGAACTCAAGGCGTGGCAGAGGGGGCCAACTGAAGGCAGCCAAGTGGCTGTGGCTCAAAAAACCGGTACCAAAATGGCTTGCCCTGGTAAGTGGAAACATGGACCAAAACCTGCGGTTTGCCCCTCCAATCGTTCAATTTTGAGCCACACCCAAGTGATCTCCAACTTCAGAGTTTGTCCTTTTGTAGTAGTGGAGTCTCTAAGGGGGCGGTTGTCCAAGGGGGGGTCTAGCGAACCCTAAGGAAATCTAGGGCTCTCAACCCAGCCGCCTGGTGCCTAGGGACTTCAACTGATCTCCAGCTTGTTTTTTTTTCTTTTTCGGGGAGCTGAAAGATCAGGTACCCCGCCAGGTTGGTGGTTATGGGGGATTTGAAGTCCTGGTTCTTGAGGGTAAATGGGAAACGCCTCAACCGAACCACCAAACCACCAAACCACCAAGCACCAACCTGAGGGAAGCTGAACAATGGCGCAACGGCTTTCCATTTGGTTTCCCTATTAAAGGCAACCAAGTGAGGTTCCAACACAAAATAAGACACACCCTTGTGCTTCCCATAACAAAAGGGGGTCTGAAGCATCAGAAGCGCGGCCGAGTGAGTTTAGGGTGTAAGATGTTGGTTTAGGGTCAACTTGTTTAATTGGTTTAGGTTCAACTGAGTGTAGGGTTTAAGGCTTGGTTTAGGGTCAACTGAGCTTCGGGTTTTAGGTTTTGGTTTAGGGTCAAGTGAGCTTAGGGTCAACACAGTCGAGGTTTATAAAGTAATCTGACAGTGGATGCAGAAGTCTCCATTTCGGGGACCAAGGAGATCATTGGAAGTTTCAACTTTTCGCATTCCGTTTCGTAAATCGGATCTCGAGGAGTTGAGGCGGGCAAGCCCACGGCCCGAATATGCTGAAATGCTGGGCCAAGGTCCCCAAACATTGTTCTCGCGGGGCGCGGGCAAACCACAGCTCCTGGCCGCATATATATATATATATATAATTATATATATATATATACATAATATATATATATATATATATCTATACATAATATATATATATATATATATATATAATATCTATATGATGTGTGTATATATATATATAGAGGGGTGGTCAAAAGTTAGAACCCTGAGAAGTTCCATCGCCCAGCCCCGGCTCGAATGTCTATGCGCGCCAGGCACAAACCGCAGGCCCCGACACGGCCAGCTTCGGCGCTGCGCTGAGCGCGCGCCGTGCTGAGCTGAGTCAAGGGAAGTTCCGAGCTACGTCCAGGTTCAATAGGAAGTGAGATGTCCAATGGTAGCCCGAGTAAAGAATAGTTGGACAAATCCGTACCCCGGTGGCAGAAAGTTAGGTTGCCGGCGGCTCTTCCTGTGATACGAGGTCCACTCAATGATGAAGTAATAAACGGCGGAAGGCCGTTTTGGTATCGCAGTTGGCGGCTTCTTTTAAAGAACGATTGCGTTGAGAGTTGCTGGTCTCAAAAGGCAGCAAAAGAGAGACTGGGGCGTAAGAAAGCACAACTACTGACAAACTAGTGAGTGGTTGACACACTCAAGGATCTTGTTCTCTTGACTGATAGATACAGTGAACACACATGCTTACATTTCAGCACGGTGTGCTCTGCATCTATGAGGTGGGGTGGGGACCTCTCAAAGATTCCCCCAACAATACCTCCAACCTGAAGTCACCATCGGGGTCAACCTCTCAGCATCCAACTCGAGCATTTGGATGCAGATTCCGCCTTGCAACCCGGGCTCTGGCAATATGAAGGAACCATATGGTAGGAAGCCAGCGAACAACTGGCAGATAGAAACCTCAGAATCTCTCTTCTCCCGTCTCTCATACGTGTGTGAAAGGTGGAAGGACCGGAGACCAAGACCCACATGACAGAGGGCGCTGCTCACAAACGTGTGTACCAATTTGGTCACAACTCGGGGCTAAGGGTTGCCACCTCTTCACGGGTTTGCGACCAACCAACCAACCAACCAACCAACCAGCCAGCCAGCCAGCCAGCCAGCCAGCCAGCCAGCCAGCCAGCCAGCCAGCCAGCCAGCCAGCCAGCCAGCCAGCCAGCCTACCAACCAACCAACCAACCAACCAACCAACCAACCAACCAACCAACCAACCAACCAACCAACCCAACCAACCAACCAACCAACCAACCAACCAACCAACCAACCAACCAACCCAATTATTCCCGGATCCCTCTTGGGGTTAACACTAAAAGGTCAACCGCAAAGGAAACCGATGGTTTTTGCTAGCTTTCAAGCATAAGTCAACCCCCATTTGCGACCTTAGTTCCCCTTCTCGAGTTTCCTTGAACGAGGCTTCTTCCAATTCTCAACGCTCTACAATTTGGTTGCTGCTTCGACCTCAACAAATTTCAAACAACGTCCAACCAACTGCCCCCGCCACGTTGGGGCGCTAAAAACCCTCCGATGTGTTCTTTCATTTGCTTTAGAATCCTTGTTCTTTCCCCTGTTGACTTTAAAGGGGAATCTATCACTCTTGGGACATATTTGTATCTTTTCCAGGGGGCTTAAGCAAATGGCAGGTCAATTTGAGTGTGTTTTTAGTCCTCTTGGATTTTTTCTTTTTCTTTTTTTCCCGATGGGTTGAGCTCCCCCAAAAAAAGCCCCGAGGTGCGAGAAGGCCGCGTGGTGGTCCGAGGCGCTGGCCCTCCTGGCGCAGGCTTGGGGCTCGCGTGACTCGGCGGGGCTCGGGGAAAGAAAAAAAGCGGCGTCCTGGTGACCTGGGCCTCAAGCTGCCCCATAGAAAAGGGGCATGGAGCATCCCACCATAAGGTTTTCATAGAAAATGGGCATGGGGTAAGGTTTTCATACTTATGGGGTAGTTTGCTGAGTCTGAGAATCTGATTTGGAGCCGGGGCCCCACATTTGTTGCGGTTGGCTGGCTCCCATGACGCAATCTGATCTTGAAGCCTATTGCAATCATTGAGGCCCTTTTACCTGGGGCCAAGCGTCATTGGGGGCGTCCATGTAAGTACTCTTCGAGAAAATTTCGTCGCCTTCCGGTACGCTCGGCTCCGGGGCCTTCCCGCGAGAAAAAAAAAAGAAGCAACGTGTCAACTGGAGGGAGTTCAGCATGCGCTGGCAAGGATCTCTTTTCTTGGCTGGTGCGATAGGCAGGAGAACTGGAACCCCCCATTCACCCCATTCAACTGGTGGTTTCCTAGGGAATCCCTGGGTTCATTCCCTCACTCCCTGAGCACCAGCAAGCTTTGAAGGTTCGGGACGGATTGCAAATGAGCAACTATTTTGCAGAACAGCGGATCGCACATGAGCAGCTAGTTTCTCACTCGACGAGTTCCTGGACTTTAAACTTTTTCGGAAGACCATTTAGGTGTAAATGACAAGTGCGGACTTTTTGGCCAATGCACTCAGGAAATGAGCAGTTTACAAGCAACTGAGTTTAGAGCTCGGCACCTTCTAAATCCAATCCAGGGTTTGGACTCCCCATCGGCCGGGTTTGTCCGGATGCAGGTGTCGCCCAGCATCGTGCTGCTGAACACTGCCCGGCGCCCGGGGCTCGCCCACTTCCTCTATCAAAAATACACCGGACCCCTTGAACTTGCGTGTATGTTTTTGTGTAATCACCCTGTATTGATTTTTGAGACTGTAACTGGTTCCTCGCGGAATGCATGATCTGGGGATTTCCTTCTGGTGTGCGGCTCCTGGTTGAGCAAACCAGCTCCGTGAAGGGTCCTGTTGAAAATGGCGTGTAGCCCGGCCCCATTTCGACCCCTTTGTCGATGTTTATGTCAAAAGTATATTTCAGTTTGCGACTTTGAGAAGCCATGGCAGTCTATTGGATCCCCAGATTCTATAGTTGCAAATTAGATAGCCACCTTGTACCGCTCGACTTCGCTACGACTCCTATAACGTACCAGTCGACAGACACGGTCTAGATGCTTGTTTGCTGTTGTATACTACCGGATACCCCGTGAGGTCATAGTGGTTAAGCGCACAGTCACCAGAGGCAGCATATTCGCATATTCGCATACCACCAGCTTTGTTCCTTTGCTCTTCTCACTGGAAGAGCGAGCGCTCCTTGCCAAGTCTTGTTCAACAGGTTGGTTCCCAGCGGCTCTCCGGACAATCCCACCCCCACAACTTGGTGCCAACAACAGCCGTCCCACAAGTTAAAGATTTAGCGATACGTGTGACAAGTGTCGCACCCTTCAGGCGCGAGCGCTCTTTTTCAGGACGAAGCCTGGGATTTGTTTCTTGGAAGACGCGAGCCGGGGGAAACTGGCGAAGGTCGCGGGTAGTAGCTAAGGTGGGTGTGTGGGGCCCCCAAAGTTCCAGTGATCGCATGTGACTTGAGTTTTTCAATGATTTTATGCTTCGGAATCCTTGTTGCCCGTCTAACGTGTCCAATTTTCAAGACATCCCCTTAGCACGGGTGTGTCTCAAATTTTTAGAGACCAGTTCCTCCTGGTCGGCTTCCATTTGCTTCTCCTGTCAAACAACAGGGTCCAGAAATTTGAGAAGCACCATGCTCAGACCAAGCAAAAGGACGCCGTTGCCATTTTCAGGAGACTATCTTGAGACACCTCATATGATCAGAATCAAACGCCTAAACTTATCGAGACCTAACCAAGAGTTGGCTAAGGGGACACGTTTGAACCAATCAGGTCCTTCACTCATACAGGTTCCCAACCCCCTTGTGGTTCCTACGCCTCGGTTTCAACATTTTCAACTCCTCTCATTTGGTTCATCGAATTGGTGCAGGCAAAAGTTAGGACATGAAAATGATGGAGCTCAGAACAAATTGGCTGGGGACAGAGAGAGAGAGAGAGAGAGAGAGAGAGAGAGAGAGAGAGAGAGCGAGAGATAGAGAGAGAGAGAGAGAGAGAGCGAGGTGTCCTTTTTTGTTGTTTTGCTTAAAAATTATAGAAGGCCCTGGTTTGCCTGGTGGTTCAATCATCTACCAGGGTTATCGATTTTCCATAAAGGACCTAGACTGCTATGGTGAGACAAGAAGATGGTGATACATGGGCCGAGACAAAGGTGAGACGTGCTATCATCACCTGTGCTAAAAGTTTTGCGTGAATCAAAGGCTCAGTTGTTCAAAGCCGACCTTTTGACCTTTTGGTTTTCCCTTTTGGTCCATATTCAGTCATGGCCCCAAAAGGTAAACCTTTTAGTTCCATTTCCTTTGGGCGACTGAGAAGGACACCTACGGTGAGAGATCTCGCTGGATCCCTGCGACTTTTTGCTGCCTCAGGCCGCCAGCGCCTGTGAGAAAGGCGGGGGGCCGGGGGGGGGGATGGTGGGGAGTTGGAGCCGGGGGGGGGATATTTTTGGGTGATACCTCTGGGAAGGGGACCAGTAATTGGCCCTCCCAGTGTTTTGGTAGATTTGTTTTTTGGTGGCACGTGTTCAATTTAATCCACATGGGTGTGTCTGAAAAAAAAGGCTTTGGCATGCTTTAAAATGCTGGAAGGATACTAGTTGGTGGGCAATGTTGCTTTGTTGTACCCGTGTTTGGTGGTTTTAAATGATGTCAAAGGACAACCACCAGGTTGGACAGAAGTCACAGCCGCACGAGCAACAGAGTCGCTTGTTCCGGGTGAATTTTAAATCTAAATCTCGGCTACCGGTGTATGGTTTGTGACGGATTTCCGCACTGTCCATAGGAATTCCATTTTTTTTTGGCAGGCGAATCAATAAATCATTTCGTCCGCGGATTTGTATAGCATGACTTGTTAGCCTGATTTGTTAGCATGACTTTTTTGGCTCCGTCCATAGGAATCTCCGATTTATCCCAGGCTTTCGCTTCCCGGCGCTGTGGGTCTCGAGCGAATTGCCCAAGTGCCGAACCTCGGGGCGAGTTTTTTGGACCTGCCGAAGCGAAGGGCGGAGAACTGGGAAGCGAGCAGTTGGGAAAATCGGGGAAAAGGGGGTCCTGTTTTGAGGGTTTTCAAGGGGAAAACAGGAAAACAGAGACCAAAAAAAGGAGTAAGGGGAAGGACACCCCAACATTTTAGTTTTTTTTTTTCAAACCCAGGTTCACGAAGACCAAGGGAAGTGAGTAAGGGGAATCCCCAGGTTCAAGAAGAAAACTCGGTTGATTCCCTTCGCAAGTTGCCCAGGGCATCAGTGGCGCTGGGCACTTCAGATGCTTCGACAGGCACTTTGGGAGTGGGGGTTGAGGTCCAGACTTCTGACCCTGGCTCAGGGCCCCCAAGAGAACTGGGTACTGAATAAAAACTCACTGCTTCCTGGGTAAACAGGGATCCTTAATTACCTCTACTTCTTTGGTTGCCTACAGTGGTAACTGGAAGGAATGGGATAAATTTGATTTGTCCCACAAGGAAGCTCAACACCCGAAGACTTGAAGACTTGGGGCAGAGGGAAGGATCCTAGTGGCCTTTCCGAACCCCTTCCAACATACGAAAATCAAAGGCCTTGAAAGTTTTTTTTCGAGAACACCCATCTTCCCTTGGACTTTTAAAAGGACATGCTCATGATTGCTACATACCCTTGATTTGTAAATGCCTTCAGGGGAATGGAAGGTCTTGAGATGACTTCTCCCCCCCTTGTTCGCCCCCTCCTTTCACTTTTCGCTCTATAGGCGATTTCGTTTGGAACACAGCGTTCAGGGCTCCTACCAGCGTTCGGCGCCGCACGCTCGTTCATGCGGCTTCTTGATTTTGCAGTAGGGTTAAGGTCCCCCCCCATTCTTGAACATGGCACATGATAGGTGCGTGACGTAAAGAACTCCTGCACTCTTGGTTCTTCCTTGCTATCTATCCCCCTACATATTCCTTTAAGGACGCCATGGCCGACATGGCCCATGCACCGTGTTCTACCACATGTTTGTCTCACATTCGGGGTGATTGCTCCCACCATGTGACTTTTTCCCCTTGCTTTCCCATATGTCCAACCTCAGACACCTTCAAACTAGCCACAAGACATGGGAGTCACTCATGAACAACAACAATTTGCATGGCATGTCCATGTTTTCAACCCCAAGAAGGGCATCAACAAAGAGACGCGCCGACTCCACCGCTGGCCGCGCGGCAGGCCCGGACGGCGCAGTTGCGGGCGGATGCCACCACCTTCAACGCGGCGGGGGGGCACAGAGAACCCTTTGGTGCATGTTGCCAAGGGATGTCAGGACTTTAACTTTTTGCCATCGAATGGGTTTTCCGTATTAAACCCACTAAGAGTTATTAGAACCCTTGGATGTCAGGACTGGACACTTTTTTGCCAAGGAATGGGTTTTCCGTGTCTTTTTTCCCCCACTAAGAGTGATTCACTTTTAGCAGGGGAGCAGAAAGCAACCGAGAAGCTGTGCAGAGTGCCTGTGTCCTTTGTGCCCTTTCTTGATACCCAAAATGGATGGCATGGATCTTGGAAGGCCGACACCCCCAAAACATGGATGGCGATTTGGTAACGGATCTTTGGACTTTCAAATCTTGGTTGAAACAGATCGGATTTTCCATCCGCAGTTTTTCGGGGGAGGGTAAATGGGAAACTACCCTTAGCCACGAACCATCGGGCTCCAAGCCACCCGTTTGGAGAGAAGCTGAGCAAAGGCAGGGCAACATATTGCAGCTGACACATCTCAGAATACCGTCGGGGTACACTAAAACTCACTTGCCCAAAGCCGACCTTTTTGACCTTTTGGTTTTCCCATTTTCCACTTCTCGTCATGGTCGAAGGTGATCACTTTGTATTTTCAGAGCTGAACTGGGCAACTGGAGAGAATGACAGCTGCCCTATGGGGTGTCCAAAAGGCTTTTGGGTGTCTCTTCAACTGGCGGATTTTGGTTTCTGCTCGTCAAAGGTGATGGCCGCCTGTCTGCGGGGTGAGCAGTGGGCGAAGAGCTTGGCCCTCTTCCAAGGCATGCGCCGGGGCCCTGGAACGGCACAGAGCTCCGGTCGCTCGGTTTATCGGTTTCCCAACGTATCAACTACCCTCCCACCAATGAACATGGAACCTGGGGTCTTGGTTTGGACATCTTGCCTCTAAAAGCCATCCATTTAGCAGGGGAACCCATCAATTTGTTCCAAAAGGTCACATGTGGTGCCGTTTAGCTTCCTTTTCTCCCCCAACAGCCTGGGTTTCGATGGTCTGGGCCGCTGGTTTGGGGCGGCTTTCAGCTTAGGGGGGGTGCCAGGGCTGTTGTTGGGATACCACCTAGGAGTATTTGGCCGTGGCTCAAAATTAAACAGGGGGGGGGGCCAACCGCAGGTTTTTGGGAACCATGTTTCCACCTACTAGGGTTCCACTTTGGAATTCCGGTTTTTTGAGCCACGGCCATTTGCACGGAGTTTCCTCTTGAACATCAAGGACCAAGAAAGAGGTGTCATTTGTTTCTACCACGGCCACCGAGCCATGTGAACGTCCTCAAAACCCGCGTTGAAGAAACTATGCCAAGAGCACCACACGGGCTAACCCTCCTGGTCCAGACAACCAATGGGCCAAAGAGTTGCTCTCAGGAGCGCAGCCATGGATTCCGTGGAAGTTTGCAGGGTTTCCCCCCTGTGCCAAGTGCTTGCCAAAAAGTGTTCGGGCATCCGCAGCAAGTGAAGCTGATGATCTCATCTTAGATAGTTTTGGGCCAAACAGATTACACTGGCAAATCGGAAGTTGAGCCAGATGGAACAATCCTTCTCCCGAAGCCAACAAACGGTAATTCCCAGCAAAAATCGACACACCCCAAAACATGGAGCCCCAAAAAGGCATGGAGCTTTAAAAGGACACACACCCAGCCTCACATGAAAGAATGGAGCCCAGCCTTCGGAGCCCAAAGCCGGCTTTCGGGCAAGCCGTCGGAACCGCTGAGGCCCCATGGCCACGCTGCCGTCCTTCGCCGAGGCCTTGGGAAGTCTGCGCCAGGCGGGGGGTGTGGTGGTTTGGTCGGGAGGCGAGTGCTGCTTGGTCCGGTGGACGGACGAATGAGGCTCGAGAGGATCCCCCTGTACCAACAAACCCCGAAAGCATCGCGAAGGGTTCTTCCGAGCGGAGCCCTTGGACAAGTTACATAGAGCCAAGTTACATAGGGCCAAGTTACATAGAGCCAAGTTACATAGAGCCAAGTTACATAGAGCCAAGTTACATAGAGCCAAGTTACATAGAGCCAAGTTACATAGAGCCAAGTTACATAGAGCCAAGTTACATAGAGCCAAGTTACATAGAGCCAAGTTACATAGAGCCAAGTTACATAGAGCCAAGTTACATAGAGCCAAGTTACATAGAGCCAAGTTACATAGAGCCAAGTTACATAGAGCCAAGTTACATAGAGCCAAGTTACATAGAGCCAAGTTAGGTAGAGCTTAGAGCTTCGGCGTTAGCAGCTATGTAAGTTAGTTTAGGTTTCTAAGGCGCCGGGGCGGGAGTTTGATCGTCGCTCGGGATTGCGACCCTCTGCGCAGATTCGCGTGGTCGAGGTTCAAAAACTGAGGACTTTTTACGATTTCTGCGGTGCGCGCGCGACCCTCTGCGGAGATTCGCGTGGTCGAGGTTCAAAAACTGAGGACTTTTTACGATTTTTAGCATGCGCGCGCGACCCTCTGCGGAGATTCGCGTGGTCGAGGTTCAAAAACTGAGGACTTTTTACGATTTTTAGCATGCGCGCGCGACCCTCTGCGGAGATTCGCGTGGTCGAGGTTCAAAAACTGAGGACTTTTTACGATTTCTGCGGTGCGCGCGCAACCCTCTGCGGAGATTCGCGTGGTCGAGGTTCAAAAACTGAGGACTTTTTACGATTTCTGCGGTGCGCGCGCGACCCTCTGCGGAGATTCGCGTGGTCGAGGTTCAAAAACTGAGGACTTTTTACGATTTCTGCGGTGCGCGCGCGACCCTCTGCGGAGATTCGCGTGGTCGAGGTTCAAAAGCTGAGGACTTTTTACGATTTCTGCGGTGCGCGCGCGACCCTCTGCGGAGATCGTGCGCGTCGAAGCGCTCTCGCTGGCGCCGTGCGAATTTGTCTTAGGCTCGGCGAACCCTCTGCGGAGATTGTGCGTGTCGAAGCGCTCTCGCTGTGGCGCCCTGCAATATTCTTGCTCGCGAAACGGCCTTTGGAAGTTGTCTCGTGGTTTGCGCGCCTGCTTTCGCAATCCCGCGGTCGCGGGTTCGATTCCCCCCTGGTCCGCGGCAGCTCCGGCTTGAAAATCGCAGCTTTTAAGTACGAACGTGGTACGCGGAGCGTGCTCCTGCAGCTCCGGCTGGAAAATCGTAACTTTTAAGTACAGACGTAGTGTGCGGAGCGTGCTCCCGCAGCTCAGGCTGGAAAATCGCAACTTTTAAGTGCAAACGTAGTACGCGGAGCACACCCCCGCAGCTCCGGCTTGAAAATCGCAACTTTTAAGTACAAACGTAGTATGCGGAGCGTGCTCCTGCAGCTCCGGGTGGAAAATCGCAACTTTTAAGTACAAACGTGGTACGCGGAGCACACCCCCGCAGCTCCGGCTGGAGAATCGCAACTTTTAAGTACAAACGTAGTGCGCGGAGCACACCCCCGCAGCTCCGGCAGCACTTGCGCAGAGCAACTTGCGCAGAGTCACTTGCACAGAGCAATTGCACAAAGCACTTGCGCAGAGCAACTTGCACAGACCAACTTGCACAGAGCACATGCGCAAAGCGCTTGCACGGAGCAACTGGCGCAGAGCCCTTGCGCAGAGCAACTTGCTCAGAGCACTTGCGCAGAGCAACTTGCACAGAGCAGGCGCAGAGCAACTTGCACAGACCAACTTGCGCAGAGCACATGCGCAAAGCGCTTGCGCGGAGCAACTGGCGCAGAGCACTTGCGCAGAGCAACTTGCTCAGAGCACTTGCGCAGAGCAACTTGCACAGAGCACTTGCGCGCAGCAGCTTGCAGAGAGCAACTTGCGCGCAGCAGCCTGGAACAATGCAGCTGGCGCAGACCACTTTCGTGAGAAATCGCGCGGCGCAGTTCGAGAGGAAAGTAGGATGATGAGATGGAGCTCTCATGTGACCATACACATTGAGCATCGCCGCGCGCAGACACGCTCGCCGCAGCGATGTAAAAAGGTGTCTCCGCAGCTGGATGAGCTGGTGCGAACGGACTTCGTGCATCCAAAGTATGAATGTGGCCCCCGGTTTTGAGTTGTTGACCTTTTGAAGTTTCCCCCAGTTTTGGGGTTGCCGATTTTTTTCGTGATGCCCCTTTAAGGCTGATCTCGCTCTCCTTCTTTTTCCGGGTCCCAGGTTTGGGGCAAGTAGTCACTCCCCCGTGGACTTGAGTCACTTTTGGGGTTTGATTTCCGTTTCAGTGGCGAAGTCTGGACTTGTTCTGAGAACTCGGGAGTGAGTTTCTCCCCCTTTCAGTTAGGCATCACTTGTGGATGAGTTTCCTTGTGGTATGATGTCTAGGGGAAACAGGGAGCCTTGGAAGCAGGTGCTGTGATTCGGCAATCCAAGGCCATGGCAGAATTGGGCCAGATGTGTGTCAGCCTTTCCGGCGGGTTGGGCTGGTGGAAAAGGCGCTCCCTGCTCCTCGGGGGCGCAGGTGATGAGGACTTAGACCACCTAAACAGGCTTGTCAAATTCGATGGAGGAAACCCAGAAGGGCAAAGGGAAAAAAGGGAGAAAAGGGCAAAACAGGTAAGTGAAGTCTGGGCATGAAACCACTGCCACGCCAACTCTGGCAGATTCTCGCCGAGCTCCACACCAAACGCAACCACGTGCAGCCTGAAGGCACGAGTAGGTCATGTCGCAGACAACCAGCTGGGGGGAAAGCTCGGCGCTCATTCCGCCGGAGCAAATCCATGCGCCGTCCATGCGCAAGTCCTCGCCACAGTCGGCCGGCTTGGTGGAACAATGGCGAGGGTGGGTCACCCCCTATGCCGGTTGCCACGGAAAAGGATACGTTCGTGGCAATGTGTGCCCAGAATGCGAGAAAGGCATGAGGGCGATGAAAAAGCGGAGATGGTGGTCAACTTCTTGAGGCTTGCGCAGCCAAACAGCTGAAAACAGCCCAGTGGCCATGGGGGAAAACATCCACCTTGCTTTGTCGGCTCAAAGGGTAGCCCTTCCCCCCAAAAAGAAGAACCTGCCCAAAAAAGACGAACTGCGCAATCTACGGGCTTTTCAACGCGTGGACCCCTCGCTCCGTGAACGCCTTTGCCGCTTTCCTTTTTCTTGGCGGGGTTCTCTTTACAATCAACTGCGGAACAAATGAGTGCCGATTCCGTCTTTCCTACCCGGGGGGTTCGGGGTGAGACACCCGAGAATGACGAAAGTATCGAATCAGTCAAATCAGATGGCCCCACGATGGTCAGAAGGCAAACACGTGCGCCCTCCCACCCCACAAATGTTGGATATTCGCCTCAAATGGCCCCTTTTTGTGGGGGATTTTACATGTGCGGCCTCCACAAATTTTGATGTCCTCATTTGGTGGGTTGGATAGTTTTGAGGCCCAGCTGGCGGGTTGTTTCCCATTTGGTTCAGCTCCCCAATCCGAAACCCTCCCGCAAACATGAGCCACAATCAAAACCTGGGTAGACTAAGGATAGTAAGGGACAATCCCAGCCACAGACGGGTGCGACCGGCCTAGGACCATTAAATATAAATATATATATATATATATAATATGCATGCAACAAAAACAAGCAGGTTTTTGATTGTGACCGCAAACAAAAACACCATTAGGTGCGCTGCAAAACCCAATGGTTTTGATGGTGTCTGCAAAAGAAAATCGGTGCGCCGCAAAGCCAATGTGTTTGCTACAAGTACCAAAAAAAGCAAGACAGGGGGCCTGCAAAAAACGCCGTTTCTTGCCACCATACCAGAAAAAGGTAGGGGGCCGCAAAAAAACAATGTGTTTGCCACATGTACCAAAAAACATTTTATTTATTTTTTTTTTTTTTAAAAAAAAAAAAAAAAAAAAAAAAACACACACACACACACACGTTTCTTTCCACCCTACCAAGGGTTGTTTCACGTCCGCCTGCCCTGAAATGGAGCGCTTGCGCGAGCGTCAGGCGGGGCGCTGGGAAGACGCCCTGGGGCTCCTCTGGGAGCTGCCGGAGCCCAAAAGAGTCGTGGGACAACCGGAGGGCGGAGTCTGCGAGTGCTGCGCGTGGGGTCTGTCCTTTTTTGGAGTTGGTATCACTCATTTTTTGTTTTTGTGTGGTTTTAAAGGGAAAGCAACAGGAAGCACAATTCCTGGGCTCACCAATTGCCAGGTCGGGGCATCGGTGCCGTTCCAAACACGTCCAGGCCCCGCTGGGACCTCCAAACGCTCACGGCAGCGCTGGGCGCCCTTTGCCGCGGAAGCCGTTGGCGGGAGGCGGGCGGGTTGTTTGCAGCGCTCCCCCCCCCCAAAAGAAAAACAGGTGGTGGGTGTTGCTTTTTGGTTTCCCTTTAGAGCCACAGAAACGTGGTACCCTCAAATGCATCTTTGAATCCCCCGTGGATCCCAGGTACCAGTACGCTCACTCCCTGAGTTCACTTTTACTTTTTGGGCTTGGACCGTTTTAGTGGCAGACAAGTAGTTTGGTTCTGTTGTGCCAGTCCACTCAGGAAGTGAGCATAGTGTAGTAGGTAGCCCTTCGCCATGTTCCGTTTGCTTTTTTCAGGACACAAACCCTTGGTTTCCTACTAGGTAACTGGACTCACTGTAGGAATTGGCCCCCCAAACACAGCGGGTTCCTTTTGTTTCCCATTTAAAACAACAGAGTTCTCTTCTGCCCCCGTCGCTTACTCATTCAACCTATCAATCTGCGCAGGCATCGCTCTTGTTGGACAGCCGCATCACTGCATTGCAGCCCGACGTTGTTTGCCTCCTGCTGAGCCTTGGACGGTGCGAGGGCGGGAAGACGTTGAGGTGTGGACCATATTTGTTGGTGAAACGGTATGTTTGTACCCATGCTTGTCACCTTTTCTTGGGCGTGTGTGTGTGTGTGTGTGCTGTGTTTGTGCTGCGCTATTGCGGGGCCTGGGGCTCCTAATTTGGATACTTGGACCCTACTACCCATAAAAAAGGGCGCCCAGATAGACAAGGCAAGCAAGAAGTGGCAAGCAATAAGTATATAAGGCAAGCAGGAAGTAAGGCAAGCAAACAAGACCCAAACTCAGATGGAAGCTGTTTTCTGGACAATTTCTCAGGAGCTCACTGAACGAGCTTAGCCATGGCGATTGTCCTTTCCGGCAGGGGTTCCCCCTATTGGAAATGTCGTAATTTACCCATGCCTTGTTCAGATCTAAGTCCCATGAACAGCCTTTGTTTGCCGCTACGACCGGTCGGCCCGAGGCTTTGCGTGACCGGCCCAAACATCCTCCGCCCAACAAACAGTGATGTGGACAGACTCTTTTGTGGAAGACCTCTTGTGTTTTGGTTTGGTTTTGACTTGCGCACATCCCCATTTGGTCCAAAACGCACCAACGTCTCCAAGAACAGTTCTATATATTTTGGTGTTGACTAAATATGACGCAGCATGTGAACATATTGTTTTCTGTGTACCTCACATGTTGGCCAAGGCAAGGATGTCAAGCATGTTGAACCCAACAAAGCACTGAGGACACTAGCCGCGGCTGACCAGGCGAGCTTCTTGGGGGGGTCAGAAACCGGGTTTGGTGCCCATTGGAGCAGCACCCCAAAAATATATGTCCTTTTTAAGGGCTCTTTTAGAAGCGAGCCTTACAAGGAAGCTTTGTAAGGGCCCTTTACATGCAAGTGTGGAAAATGAAAAACCCTCCTAGCCCTGGAAATTGAGGGTTCTCAAGTTCTACATGTTATAAGGGTGTTGGCAAATTTTGGCAGGGGTTCTTCTGGAGACCTTGCCTAACCCTACATACGCCTTTTTCACCATCTCAAGAGTCAACAGGCGCTGCTCATTTTTGGCTGACCGGACTGTGGGTATCTTATTATGTTTCCTGAAATGGGTGACCTTGATTGATGTCATAGGCTTAGGAGTAGATGAAGATTAGATAGCCCTGTGAATGAGCGGGGTCGCCCCCTTTCATTTGCCATTGGTTTCGGCTTTTTGTGGTGAAATTCTATTTTTGGGCCTTGCTGAGCAGTGCTAGCATTCCTTGAGAGCCATGACAAATGCTGCTGACCACTGGGTCTCTGTGTCACGTGCCGCGTCGATATCTCCCCAAGCGTCACCCTTGGCCAGGCGATGTTAAAGACGGCAACGCAATTTGAGGTTTAGAACCACTGAGGCAACACCAAAAGGGCAAAGCGCGGAGGGACAGATATATAGATCAGGGTTGTGGGATCAAGGGGATAAACTTCTGTCTCCCCCTTTATAATTGGGGGTGGGGTGTAGTCTTTGGGAAGCCCTTCCTGTTGTATCACAGAAGTAGTCCATTTCTCACAGCCCTGATATAGACCCCCGTGTCATTGAAGGCACGTCAATGGACAGGCCCTTCTCCTGCAGCGGTTGCTCCAGCTGGCCCGGCTGCTCACCCGCCACGCGGTGAAAGGCGCGCATGTCGATGCCACGAAGTTCCGGATCCCACCCCATAGGTTTGGGCCAATAGCCCTGGTTTTGGGGTAGGCCGAGGGTTCAGGTTTGTGTTGTTTGAAGAGCCGGAAGTATCCACATTTTTTTGGTATGCTTGGAGGATGGTTTTGGAGGGGTTGAAAGGGGTCGTTTGGCACCTCCTGAGAAGGTAGCAAGGGATGTTTAGGGGTAGTAAAACCAAGAAGTTGACAACACACCCTGACCAAAACCCCAACAAAGCACCCGAACCAGAACTCTGCGGCCCCCGTTGAAGAGGAAATCTATTCAATCAATGGGTGTACCAAGTTGTCGAGGGCTGCAAAGTAACTTGCGCCTATATTTTCTGGTTCCCCATTCGTTTCAGGATCCGGATCCCACCCAGCATATTGTCAAAGGGCCACTTGACCTGGGCAAAGAGTGGGTCCCGAAGTCTCTGATCCCCTGGCGTTTCTTAAGCCCTTGGATCTCCTCCTCTGATCTCCGGTCCCATCTCTGACGTTGAACAGCTTCCGAATTCGGAGGGCGTTTCTGATGCCCACCGATGGGTTGGGCGTCTGGAGCTTGTGGTGACTGCTCCTCCTCTGGATTGGTTGGGTCAAGGTGTGGGGCCATGGGAGACATCTTGGCCCTTAGAGTGATAGGCCAGGAACGGATTCTGATCCTAGGCTTGGGGTTGAAGGTTGACCAAGTTGTTTTAAATGCCTGGGTCCCCCCAGTGGTGCCCTTTTACCAACTTTTTTTGGGGGGAGGGTTCCCCTACTAAAATAGACTAAAAAGGGTACCCTTATTCTAGCCTCTCTACTGGAGGACCTAGATGCTTTGACATTTTGACAGGGGATTGCTCACCCAGAACATCCACAGCTTCAGATTATGAAGACGCAATGTTCCACGCAGCTGACACCGGCCACTTCTCGGCAAGGGCTCTGCCAAGGGGCATTTGGTGCCCAGCGATTCTGCTTGAGGTAGCATTCGCCTCTCTCTGGTTTCCTCCTATGATCAGTTGGTGGCGATTCTTTTGACCTTACTCATTCAGACTGAATCCAGACTGGCCGATGCGCCAAGCGAATCTGTGTATTCCTCCTTCAGACAGGGTTGCTGCCCAAAACATAATGACAAAACCACAAGGTCATGGGTCGAAAATTGGTCCTTGACCAAACTGCCCTCGTGGCTTCTTTGGAGCTCCTTCAGACTCATCTCCTTTTTATCCCACGCGGCTGAAACCGGGTCCTTACCCAGTGGGCAACAAAACCCATCCAGAGATCGGCAAATGTGTTCTCCAAATGCCACACCTGAAATTCAGAGTGGTTTCCCCTTCAAAGATGGGGTTGATGCGTATCTGAGAGGTCTTTCAACCGGTTTCTCTGAAAAAATCCCGAGTTCTGCGCGGAGTGCTGTTGTTGCACATTTGGTACGCAGCTTGGGGTTGGCGCCAGATTTCCGTCAAGTATCTGTTTGGCGAGCTTATGATTCAGTTCTCGAGCTGTTGGTCTAAGGTTTCTGTATCTCGGATTCCCTTCCGCAATTCTTGGGGCGGGCTCCTTTTTCTCATCCTCCAACACAGTTTTGTTAGCCCTCCCTTCTCTTCAACCCCACAACTTACGCTTTGTTGAAACTCTCTGTAGAAACCTCTTTTTATTCTAACCCAGTCCAGCCACTACCACAGTATGCAACCAGGGGAACACATCCATGGCAAAGCCTGCCAAAACCACCTGGTTGCCTATAGTAACTGGAAGAGCAGGCCACATTGAGAGTTCGCAAGAAGTGGTTCCAGCACCCTCAACATTTCCTTAAACCTGGGTTTTAGCCCCAACATTCTGGGGTGGTATCCCATTTTTTTGCGTAGGTTCCCCCTTTTTAGGGGTTGTTGCACCCTTGTCGGAGCCAGGGGATCTTTTCGGTGCACCTGCTACAGCCGCAGGGGCCGTAGAGCTTCCTGGGACTTTCAGCTCTTCGGGTTTGGACCGTTTTGGTGGCAAGCAGAGAAAGTTCGGACATGGTTTGGGCGATCCTCTCAGGATAGCGAGACATGCATGGAAAACAACATGTTGGTCTCTCTTTTGTTGGAGGACCCCCCCAAAAAAAAAGGAAGAGAAAGAAACTAGAGTGGTGTTCCTGTTGGTTTCTCATGTAAAACAAACACAACTGGGTGCCCTCAAGAAAGGACACCCCCACACGTTGGTCTTGGACATTTTGAAACGTGGAGATGGTTTGAAACTCTGTCATTAAGCACAATCTGTGTGAACATGACGCACCAATGGTCTGACCGGGTCCAAGTGTTTGTTTGTAAGCTAAGAGCTGAGCTATGCATCCTCGGTCTCGACTGTTTGATTGGGGTTCTTCTTGAGCTCATAACAAAACTTGATTGCCGAGTTGGGACCTTTGGAAGAGTTTGACCGGGTCCTGAAGGGGGGCTGGGTGCTGTGTGTGTGTGTGAGTCAAGAATCGTGTTTGTTTCTTTTCAGGGCCCACAACGAATCAGTTGGAGCGCTTTATGGCATAGGCTTCCTTTTTGATTGTTTTGGCAAATAAATAGATGGCCCTGGAAAAGCAGGTGGTTTACGCATCTACCAGGGCCATCTGTTTACCCAAAAGGACACCTATGTTTGAAGGTGAACGGTTACTCGCCTTCGGCCGAGGCACATTTCCTGGCCTTGGCACCGGGCCCAGGCGGAGTGAAGCGCCGAAGCGAAGCAGTGCAGACAGACCCGGAGACCAACGCCATCCAGGGGCTCCTTTCTGTGTGTGTGTGTTTTTTTTTTTGTGTGTTACCCGGAGTGGTTTTAAGGGAAGCCAAAAGGAAAGCCACCATTGTTTTTTGGGTCCTCTAAGACAAGACGCACCCATGTATTCTGCAACCACAATATTTCCTCCCTGATTGCTCTGGCTGCTTTCCAAAGGGCTGGCCCTAGGTGTACTACATGTTAGCAATCTCGGTGTTTCGTGAAACAGCGCAAAGACTCTGTTTTCTTCACGGAAGTATGTTTCTTCTAGACATGTAACAAGTACAACGCGTCGTTCCACCAGGCACGGCACATATGTACGTAGAGGTTGTTTGGTCCCTGGGGATAGCGAGCGCGTGGGCGAAAGCTATTCCATTGCTTCCTCAAGCTTGAGACCTCAAAGTTATCCTTAAGATTGTGGTGTCAAGGTAAACACCCCCAAAAGTAAGTTGGAGAGCCCTGTTTTACGGGAAACCCAAGAGAAGAGACCCTTTCAGCCTTAGCTAGGCTGGGACCCCAGAATCCTTACCTTTCATGTGTACTTCTTCACTGGTTTCCGATTTGCTTTGATTTCAGCGGGACGGAACCCGGCAGAATGAATGTGAATTATTCCCCGGATTCGCGTGGAACCAAGAAGGAGTTTCCCGCAAGGGAGACAAACTCCTCTGGAATGCATGTTGATTTGCAACCCACAATTTTTGCTTGTCCCTCAAAAACAACCACGAATGGGTCTGTTTTGTTTTGAGAGCCCCCAAAATAGTGGTGTTCCTGTTGCCACATGTTTCCCCCTTTGATACCCACCAAAAACGGGTACCCCCAAATATGAACTCTCAAACAACTGGTTGCATCTCTGTGTAGCTCTCGCGGTGCAGGTGAAGCCTTTGGTCAGGTAGCGGACTGGGTCGAGGCTGGGGTTGGGGCCAACGCCTGGAAGACTTCCAGCTCCATGGGGGTTTTATGCTACCCTCCCACCCACGTTGGAACCTGACAGTTCGGGGTCCTGGACGACTGACTTCCTTTGAGAGGGACCATGTCTCTGGGTTCCATTGGGCATTGCTTTTTCTTGGGAACGCCCTTCAAAATGCAGGTGACGACCATAGGGTGACATCATCAGTATCGATAGCGAGGTCCTTGGGATTTTTTTGGGTTGCTGCCCCCTCCATGTCTCATTGTGGCACATGATTGGAGTGATGGTTAGTCTGCAATCTCCGTCATCCACTTTCAGTGCTTTCAAGGGCAGCCTGAATCAAACACCATGGCTTGCCCCATGGCTTGCCTTGTTGCGATATGCTTGGCCCTGTTTGGGCTACCTTTACTTCAAATTGACTGAAGTGCCAAAATCCATCTAGAACCAACTAAGCAGAGTATCTTGAAGTAACTGGACTTGTCGGCTTCTTCTGGTGCCTGACTCCGACTTTGGAGTCCGTTTCCTTGGGCCAACTGGTGCACGCTCACGCCTGCGCTTGCGCCGCAAGCTGACAGTTAGAAGGCCAAGAACCTCGAGCCCGGACTCGAGGCCCTTGGCAGCTTCGATCCATGTCCCTCGAATCCTCCGAGACGCCCGCTCGCCGGTTCCCAGCGCTGCCCAGCGACCATCCGCTTCATCATGCGGAGATGACGCAGGAGTCTCGGGTCTCCTCCTTTAAACAAAGAAAACGTAGGGATACTGAATATGAAAGAGAACCTGAGCATACTCTATCCACAAAAAGCAAGTTTTAGGGTTATGAAAGAGAAATCGGAGCAAAACCAATACGTGTTTCCCGAATTGGGGCCAAGGAGACCGGGCATCTGTGGCTCAACAACCCCTTCGCGGCGGATGCTTGCCTCCTGGTCAAGGATCAGTGGTTTTTCGTCCACCAGCCGTATGTTGTCCCGCACAGTGGCTACTTCAAAAACCTCCTCAACACGGATTTGTCGGGAGAGGGGGGATATATGCTGCGAGCAGACGCCATTGGCTGCCCAGCTTGCTTCCAAGACATTCTGCACTGGATGTACACAGGGGATACGGCCGCTCTCGACTCACTCAAGGCTCAAGGTCTTCACCACTCTGCGCATTGCGAAGTTCTTGCTCATGAGCAGTGACTTTGAAGAACAGCTACTGCAACTTGCAGCTTCATGGTGGAAGGCTCACCGGGACCCCACCTTCATTTACCAGTTGGTGGAGCAGGCCAGGCACCTCTCCGCAGTGGAGATGCTAAAGACGCTTGAGAGATTCCATGCGGAGAGCCCCGTGCCTGCTGAGACCAGGCTCAAGCTCTTTTTGCAGTGGGTCGACGTTCCAAGCACGGAGCTTGGGGATGATGTGATGTTCCTTCGGGAGAATTTGAAGTCAATGTCTTGCTTGGTGGAATGCACGGAGGAGAAGATTTGCGAGCTTCACACGACGTTCCCAAAGCCGTTTGACCTGCTCATTCCGGCATCGGAATTGCTGGCTCGACTGTCAGGTGCAAAACATTTGAGATGCTCGCTTTGTCATCAACGTTTTGACTACCAAGAGCAACTAGATGCGAAGCCCTGCGAGGAAGTGGTGTACGATCACGCAAAGGCCACCTTCCGGTGGAGGTTGTTTAAGGTGCAAACGGCCGCTCCCTGAGAAATCCCCGCACTGCACCTTTCGACGAGTCCGCCAGCATGAGCTGGAGCCGACAAAGCGCGCCAGAGTCTGTCCGACGTTCCCTTTTAAAATTTGAGGCTCAAGTTGTCGTTTTCAGCCCACACCCTCGTGATGGATATTGCAAACGCGGTCAGCTGCCTGCCTGCACGGATTTTTGGGAACAACCTTCATGGACACTCAGACAAGCGCCTTTTCGCCTAAATTTGAGGTCCAAAGGGTCCCCAACTCAAATTTATACTCAGTTTTGTTGGAGTCCCGCACATGAATATGATCCTAGTTGGACGGTCGCGGACTTAGCTAAATGCTTTGCATCATGCCCGCTTACAATTATGGTATAAGTAAGCTAGGCTACTAACTTAGCTAAGTCCCGGATCATTTGGGCGTGGCTCAAAGTTACAGGGTTACCAGGATTATGCAGGTGAGGGTTACCAGGGTTATGCAAGTGAGGGTTACCAGGGTTATGCAGGTGTTATCCTCCCTCCAACAGTCATGGAAGCTGACAGAAGGGTGTGAGAATACTGCTTTCTGTTGGGGAAGCCCCCTATCCACTTCCATATGTTGGATTTACCAAGGTGCCATTTGTCAAATCGGCCTGGCTGGGTGGGAGTTCTCGGAAGAACCCTCAGGTGAAATTGGTGAAGCAAGTTGGGAGATAGGGGTCATGAATCAAAAAGAGGAAACATAAGACCTGAGTCATCACTCGGCTGTTTGTCTTAGGATTCGGACCCCCCAAAGAATATCGCAGCGGGGTTTTCCTTTTGGTTTCCCTTTAAGACCAAAAGACGGGGTCCCCGCCCAACAAAAAAAAAAGTGCTCCTTTTGGCTTTCCTTTAAAACCACCCCCCTCCCACCACCATCAAACAAAAGAAACGAAAGAGAGAAGGGTTCCTTTTGGTTTGCCTTTGAAGCCACTTCCAAAAGACGGGGGCCCGGACCCCAAAGCCCGTGGCGCTTTTTGGTCCTTGCGCGGATCGCCCGGATCGCCAATCCGCGCTAGGCCCATGCCATCCGAGCGCTGTGGCAGGTGGCCCGGGCGCCCGAAACGCGGCTCCGGTGACCCGGTGTGGTAAGACCCGTTGAACACGGGCGTGCCTTCCTTGTCTGAAAGTTGGCTGTTGCAACCCACCATTTGTGGTTGATGTCCCGTTTTTGTGGGCAGTTCTTTCGGGAGGTGAGAATCCAAAGTTTCTAGGGGTGCCTTCCTTGTCCATTCTTTCCAGGGATCCTTCTTTCTAAAAAGCTTCCAGAAACCCAGGGAAAACGCCTGGTTCTTGAAAAGAACGATGGTTGACAAAATGGGGAATGAACCCCTAGAGGCGCACTCGGGTTCACGGAGCTTTTGAACCTTTTTGGGGTTGGTTGCCATTTGAGTGGCAAGGAACAGTTGGGACTTCTTTTGGACCAGTCTCAGGAATTTTAGGCATGGTAATTCCATTTTAGTGGATAGTAGGTATCCAAGAAAACGACCCTAAACAAGACGGAACATGGCTAGTTACCTACTACAGTGCTACCGTAACTCCCCACGATCCTCGCACCAGGTTGAGTGAAAAGAGCCGCATTCCGCTCTTCAAGATGAGCAGATTCCGTTCCGACTGAAGAGGGCGATGATGATGATGATGATGATGATGATGATGATGATGATGATGATGATGATGATGATGATGATGCTGATGATGATGATGATGATGATGATGCTGATGATGATGAGGAGGAGGAGGAGGAGGAAGAGGATGATCCACACAAGATTCCGCTGATTTCCATGAGTCCTCGCTGATACGCACCTCAATCTCGCCCAAACGATCTAGTTCTGGTGTGACAGTGGTTGTTCTCCTTGATCGCAAGATCCCGTTCTGCCTGGTTCTGTAGGTGAATGCTCTGGCACTTTGTCAGGGCCTCCAACCCCCCGAAGTGATCGATGGTGGGTTTGCGGATAGCCAACAGATCAGGTAGGCTGTGGCCCCTTTCTCCGCTGGGGGCGTCTAGGTCTATGTGCCCACACTGAAGCTCTTTCGCAGAGGCGGGCAAAAGGGCTGGCAAAGTTTTGGCGGGCTGACTGGGTGCGAAGAAACCAACAACTATGCTGGTGGCTGTGTTTCACATTTTGGAGCCCCTCAAAAGGGGTTGGTCCTACATTGGCTTCTCCCTTAGCCCATGCTTCCATTCCTTTGAATATGCTCCAAGGGAAACCGCTGGGATCTCGACAGTCCTCATAGCATTTAATTCACGTACGATGCCTGCTTACAACCTATCAGACAAGTTGATGACACCCTTGCAGCAATGAACGTAAACATGCATCCCAAAGGGGTGCTTCTCTGGTTGTGCCACCCACACTTCTGTTTATAAACATGTCAGGGCGTTTCGTAGTTTCTTGTGTACATGGAGACCATCATTGAGTTTGCCACATGGCTGACCAAGCTCAAAGTTCCCAGGGGGAATAAATGCATGATGCATGATGTCATGATAGCAATTCAACACAAATCCTTAATCTTCCTGCAAAAAGCCCGAAAACAGGTACCCTCAAACACATTTGAAGGGGGTTTTTGTTTCGCCGCTGTTTCGCTTCGCATCTTGAAAGCAATCTGACCTGACTCACCATTCGAAAGATATTGGTTTTCACCTCTGGGAACTCTGGAGAACAGCTGGGTGGGTCTTTTCTTTGAGGATGCCCCTTTTAGAGTGGTTTTAAAGGGAAACCAAAAGGACACCCATTATTTTGGAGGTCCGATTCCTATTGTAAGACACACCCAGCTGCCTTAAAAACGCCCGGCTTAACGGAGGGCCTGGAGTCACATCTAATGACTTGGCTTCTGGGCTTTGCCCTAAAATTGACAAGCATCCGTGGTATTGGCAGCGTCTGGGTGGCTCATCATTGTTGAGTTACCGTTCGTTTTGTGGTTTTCGAGGGAAAAGGGAAGCCGAAGCGAGTCCCCCCAGAACAAAGAGACGCCCATTTTGAGAGCGACACTGCTTGATCCGAAGGGGTTGATCAATCCTCTGCTATCTGGACTTTAGGGACATCTTAAACCGTTTGCACTTAAGGGGCAATAGCTACCTGGACCCTCAAAAACAGTGATTTCTCGTTTTTATGGGTAGTTTTTGTCGGGTCCAGGTGAGCCACAATCAAAACCCGGGTAGATGAACGTTAGTAAGGGACAATCCCCACTATAAATAGTTGCGGCCGCCTTCTTAATTCTTTACCTGGTTCTGGGATTACGACCATCTTGATGCCGGGTTTTGATTACGACTCAGATGATCCAAAGTTGACTTCCCAAGGCTGCGAGGTTCCCCGTGCCCACGCCTGGCGGGGGGCCGCAGAACTCCCGAAACCGGTGGGGCAAGTGCCTGATGAGCATACCTCACTCCCCGAGTTGCTGGACTTCACGCTTTTCGGGCAGAACATCTTGGCGAAGAAAGAGCTTAGACGGTTTTTGGCCAATCTACTCAGGAAGTTAGATACCTTTGGGAAGAAGTGAAACTCACCCCGCTGTTGCAAAAAGAACGCAAAGTGCTTCCACCCCCAAAGCTGGGGTTCCCATGATCGCTTCAAAGCCAACTTTACGGGACATCGAGCCAGCAGAACAAGCTCAGGGCCCTGCGGAGCGTTGCACGCATAGAAGCTTGCCATTTTGCGACCAATTTGGCCATGGGCGTGTTTGTTTGTTTTTTGTTTTGTGTTGTTTTTTTGTCAGAGCTCTGTGTGTGTGTGTGTGTGGTGTGTGTGTGTGTGGGTGCGTGCGTGCGTGCGTGCGTGCGTGCGTGCGTGCGTGCGTGGGTGGGTGGGTGGGTGGGTGGGTGGGAGGGTGGGTGGGTGTGTGTGTGTGTGTGTGTGTGTGTGTGTGTGTGTGTGTGTGTGTGTGTGTGTTTTTGTTTGTCTTTTTTCTCAGAGCTCAAGGTTGGTTTCGATGCTCTCGTTTCACAAGCCCGAGCTGCAAGCTCGGAGGGTTTGAGGGGGTGATACCTTGCACGCATTCCTTGGATTCTCAGCCCTCCATTGCCCCGAGGCTCCGATCGGCTTCGGCTTTCAATGGAAGACCCGACCCCTCCATTAGACACCCCGGAGAATGGGGGAGCCCCTTTTGAATGGTGTTTGAAGATGCCATATTGCTGGAGTTGTCAAACATCGGTGATGCTCTGCGGGCCTCGTGGTGCTTGCTTTTGGTGTTGGAAAGTGGTTGTCTGGCACGTGGGGCCGATTTGGATCGTCGTTTTGGTTAATCTGATGGAACACCTCAGCGGTGAACTGAAGTCATGGCAACCCATCCAGCAGGATTAATACTGTGGATGGACAAATTCCTGCAGGTGATAAGCTGATACGTGGCTTGCCCCGCTATTCATAGGGATCCATCCATCTTGGCTGGTGCGAAGTGGATTTTGTCCATCCGCAGTAGGGGGGTGTTCTTCCGAAAGTGACAGATTCTCTCTATGGGACACTTCCCATCAAAATCGACCCAAACGTATAGGGTAGGCTAAATATAACACAGGACCAGAACATATGAGTTTATGTGTGTTCCTTTTTGTGGCCCAAGCAATGGATTCATCCTGTGCTCCCAGTAGCCGTCAGGGATTCCTTCAAACGGCCAGGATACATTGAGGTGCTCATCTGGGCTAGCGGGGAGGCAGCATCCAGGGGCACACGGGGCCCTCTTGAAGTCTTGACAGTTGCGGTAGGCCTTGCGCAAAAGTCTGGCCTGAATTAAAGCAGTATCTTCACTCAGCATGTTTGCAAAAGCCTTGCTCAAATCCATGAGTTCCATTTTGACAGGAGAGTAAGCAGCCAGGCCCTGAACAACTTGAGTGACTTGAGTAAAGCCATCAGTCATAGAAGTTTTGGTTTGAATAAAGTATGTGCTGCATAGAACATGTTGCTCATACACACTTCCATGAGACCGAAAAGTCCCTTTCTTTAACTTGCTACCTGTTTGCTTCCTGTCTGCTGCCTTGCTTTTTTCTTTTCCGGCCTCATTGCTTCCGTGCTATCTTGCTGCCTTTCTGGCTTTCTGCCTTGCTTAGTTGCTTCCTTGCTTCCTTGCTTCCTTGCTGCCTTGCTTGCTTGCTTGCTTGCTTGCTTGCTTGCTTGCTTGCTTGCTTGCTTGCTTGCTTGCTTGCTTGCTTGCTTGCTTGCTTGCTTGCTTGCTTGCTTGCTTGCTTGCTTGCTTGCTTGCTTGCTTGCTTGCTTGCTTGCTTGCTTGCTTGCTTGCTTGCTTGCTTGCTTGCTTCCATTCTTTGTTGTTCCGTGCTTGCTTCCTTGCTTCCTTCCTTGTTTCCTTCCATCCTAGTTCCCCTCCTTCCTTTTGCTTGCTCCTTCCTTGCTTGCTTCCTTTGTTCCTTCCTTTCTTCCTTATTTTTTGATATCTTGTATTTATTGCGTCTATGTATTTGTTTAATGTTTCTTTCTTTCTTTCTTTCTTTCTTTCTTTCTTTCCTTCCTCATGTTCCTCTTGTTTCGTTCCTCTGCAGCGCCGTCGAAATCCGATATGCAAGTAGGACAACGGCGCGATAGCACAAGCGATATCACCTCCTGCGTGCAAGCGCAAAAAGAAGCTTTTGCCGTGATGTTCACCGCCTGGCAAAGAAGGCACAGTAGGTGAGAAACAAACATGGCATGACAAGGTTGAAGCAAAACAGGATGACGGGGTGCTAGGTCCCCCAGTAGTGCCCTTTTACCCTTTTTTTGGGGAGGGTTCCCCTACTAAAACAGTCCACAGACAAAAGTTGGTACCCTTGTTCTAACCTCTCTAGTGGACCTAGCGGGTGATGAGTGGTCAGTTTAAGCCAAACACGAGGAAGCCACCATGTGCGGTTGTGTGAGTGGATGTTCGGCTGAGGTCTTCTATGGAGCTCACGCCTTCCCGGGAGGCAAAGCTGAGCGGCCGAGTGAGCTGACGTCAGGAAACCAGGGGATTGAAGACCCAGTGATTCCATTTCTCTGGATAGTTTGTGTCCAAGGGTTCAATTGAAAATCAAACGCACCACTCGCTCCCTGAGTTCACAAACTTTAGTCACTTTTGGGGGTTTGGGCTTGTTTAGAACAAAAAGAAAACGCGCTTGCTTGGACACTCCACTCAGCAAGTGAGGATTAGCCCAGAATGATAAGAGGGATAAGCTTTCTGGCCACCCTGGCGTAGATTTTTTTGGGTCCATCCACATACCACAACCTTCCCACCATGGTTTCGAGCGCCAATGTCCGGAGCAGATCGGAGCAAAAAGGCGGGAAACAAGACCTCAGGTTCTGACAAATGCTTTTGGCGTGGGAGGTTTGGTGTGCGGGTTCCACTTTTGTCGCTTGAGTTGTGCAAGTAGTTTCTGCAAATTTAGATGGCAGAGCCAATGGGCAACATCAGAAATGACTTGACGGTGTTGACTTCTTGAGTACCCGTTTGATTGACTCAAGCTGATGAATTCTCAGCCAAGAGAATGTGGGTGTGTTTTTTTCTCGGGGAGTCCCCAAAGTGGTGGTTTTTCTGCCGGTGTTTCCTTGAAACCACAGACACGCCCATGTGTGTTAGACTATGAGTGCTGAAGCTGATGTCGCAGTTGGGAAACCCTCGACGCAAAGCACGCGTAGTGTCCAGCGCACTGGCAGACATTGTATGAGGCTCCGTTAGCATTTTAGAGCATGATGAACCGCGTTCTGCAAAGCACCTTTGCTCCAGCGATCGGATCGTTTGAAGGGTGAGAAGCAAGAATGGCACAGCCAAGTTCACAAGGAGCAAAACACCGGTGGGCAAGAATACCGCAGGTCGCGCAACTTGGACAAATCGACCCAAGGTGTCAGCCATTTCTGGTTTCAACACCTAGGCACCGGGATCCCGATCGTCAAAGATGCGTGGCTTTGCGCGTCTTTGCTTCTTTCATCTTGCAGATGCCTTTCGAAGTGTCGAGTTGAGATCATCCCCTGTGACTTGTATTGGGTACTGGCGAGTTCGGGCTTTAGGCCTTTGAAGCCTCCGTTCTTCAAATCATGGAAGCCAGAGCCAGCCCGAATTGCAACCTGGGGTTTCTCCCTTTCAAGCTCGGAGATGGGCGGGACCGCGAAAAGGCCGACTAAGGTGGACCCCCTTGCGGTATGTGCAGGGAAACCAAAAGGACGCCCTTGCCACAGGAAATTGGAATTCGGGGCCCTTTCGGCTGGCGAAAGGTATCCTTTGTTGCAAGCCTACACGACCCCACTTCCAAGGGCTTCTGACCATTCCTGGGGTCTTCTCCATTTTCTAATATGTTTGTAGGGTAGATGAAATATGACGGAAGCTGAACATATGTTTTTCTGTGTGCACCCCTTTTTCGTTGGCCAATATTCGTTTGAAGCATCACGCTGGACCACAGCAGCCCACTGACGTCTTTGAGGATAGCTCAGGGAACCTCCCACCAATTCGCATGGAACCTGACGTCCGGGGCTCCCTTCAGGAAAATCGTCCAAACCAGGACCCCCAAACGTCAGGTTCCACGTGAATCGGTGGGCGGGTAATTCATAGCAATGCAGAGAAACACATGGCGCAGGCTGCTGCCCTACTCGGCTGGCGCGCAAAGCTCGCGCCTTTCCATCGCGCCCTGGGCTCGACACCCGTGGTGTTGTTCAAATGGGCGAAATGGATTGATTTGCCGAGACCGTTTTTGTGAGAGCAGTGTTGGTGCTTGAGGGTCGTGTGCTTTGTTTCTCTCTTTCTCTCTTGTTCTCTCTCTCTCTCTTTTTTTTGTTTTTTTCCTTGTTTTCGTTTTCCTTCTTTTTGTTTTTTTTCTTTCTTTTTCTTTCTCTTTCTTTCTTGTTCTTTCTTTCTTTCTTTCTTTCTTTCTTTCTTTCTTTCTTTATTTCTTTCTTTCGGCTCCAAACCACCAACTTAGTGGGAAGCTGAGCAAAACACAAAATTGCAAAACCGCCAAGCTCGGCCCTGAAAGACTTCCATAGGAGTCAGCCAATATAAATCACCAAGCAGCTGAAGGTGAGCTAGTGCTCGATACACACGGCCATTGGCTTGCCATTACTGTTGAATCAACCACGGGAAACAGTCTCGAGCCAACCCCCCCCACAAAAAAAGGAAGAAGCACCAGAACACAAAAACACACAAAACAGAAAGAGAGAAAGAGGAGAAACAGACAGAGAGAGCCAACCTCAGGCGCCCATCCAAACACTCATGTTGAAAGAACGGTAGCCAATTGCTTGCCAACCCGTCCGGAAATATGTGTCCTTTTGTGAATTCCTTGTAGGGGGACATGGCGCAATGGCAGCGCGCCTTGACAAGTGGTTGGGGAGGTTGCAGGTTCAAATCCTGCTGGCCCTATTTCAATCAAGCAAAGGGGCGTAAAAGTGGTGGCAATTGCCAGATTCAGAAAAAACCTGGTTCTTGTTTACCTTTCCCACACAAGTCGGGTTCACAAACCGCCAAAACTGGAAATTTCGGCAAACCAATAGGGATCCTTGGACGACCCGGCGCTTTTGGTGGTGAAATTAGGTGGTTTCCCCTTGACTCACAAGAACCAGTGGTTCAAATTCCCAAACCAATCCACACCACCGATTAGGTGTTTCCTGATTTGCAACGCGCGGCTCAAGCGTTTTGCTATCTTTTGGCCGCAACCAAAGGAAGAGGGTCCGCACCGTGCGGCATGTCGGAATCGGACATGTCGGATATCAGCGAGGGAGCTCTGCTGGGATCGGAGATGAGCTTGGAGAGGAGATTGCCATATCTGAGTCTTGGCGAAGACAAAGAAGCCATTGCCGAACATGGTGGGCCTTTGTATCCTTTCCCGTTCAAGTTACCATGGGTTCCCCCTGGAGAAGATAAAATTTAGACGTTGAGGGGTTGGTCTGGTTGACAGGCTATGTTCCCCCGGCTAGGGATGGGTGGATCTGGGCGTGTGGCTATTTAGAGCCGGAAGTAGGAACCGAAGCTGGTGTCACCATTACCAGGTTCAAATGTGTAGCCGTTGAACACATCACGATTCGAGCACCGCGACTTGTCGATGTCCCATTGCAATTTGCACAATAGAGTGACGCCTGTGATGACTACTCTTTTTAGAAGAATCAATGAACGGATGAAAGGCACCACGAGGGGCGCGAATGAGCCAGCATGTGTGAATCTCGACTGGACTTTGACTGAAGCAAGACATTATTGGAGTTCGAGCCCAACAGGGATGTGCGGGATTGTGCGGCCATAGAAACGGCCTGCGTTTACCTCGTTTGGCTGTTGAGGGAGAATCAATAGAACACCTATCTGTTTTGGCGGCAATTTCCCAGTTTCCCCGCCCAAATCAATACGGTCCTTGCAATACTGATTCCCAGAAAGTAAACTAGGTGCTTCTCTTGAGTGCGGCCAAGTCTGTCTCTGCGCCTTACCGACTCTGGCAGGGCCCATAGGCCGTAGGCGGAAACAGAGAACCCCAATCCAAAAAGAGGCATCCACAGATGCCATAGAAGTCACACACACACGTTCCAAGTTGCAGGCACAGGCAGTCCGATTCAAGAATACAAATGGTTTTGGTCTCCACATCGATTTTTATATGCGGTGGACGAATTATGACACATTCTTTTCAACTCGTTCTTTTCAAAAAAAACAGCTGTTTTCCCTGGGTTTCCGGAGGTTTTCTAGAAAGAAGGATCGGAAAGAGTGGGGAAGGCACTGATTTTCAGTGCGCCGCAGTTTTTGTGGGTCAAGTGGTTCGGGTCGTTCGCAGGAAGTGGGTGCTGCTGGCTCTGCTGGGGCTGGGCGGTGTGCTGGGCCACCAAAGCCGGAGGCTACGCATCGACACGCAGCAGGTGGTGCAGGAGTACGCCATTCCGCCAGGCGGAATGGAGTTGGAGATGGATGGGGTGGAGGGCTGCAGGGGTGGAGGGTGGAGGGGTGGAGTGGCTGGATGGCTGGAGGGGTGGAGGGATGGAGGGGTGGAGGGGGTGGAGGGGTGGAGGGGGTGGAGGGATGGAGGTTGGAGGGGTGGAGGTTGGAGGGCTGGGGCTGGAGGGCTGGAGGGGGGGAGGGGTGGTTTAGCAGGTGGATGGCTGGAGCGGGTCGGCAGCCTCAGGCTTTTGGGTGGCTTGGTGGGTTGGTGGATTGGTCGATGGGAGACGATTGGTCGGTGGCTTAGTCGGAAGGCATGTGGGTTCTTGCTGGGTATGTGAGTTGGCCTGTGGGTTGCTCGGTCGTCATCTTCGTATTTGCACATAGGGAAGCAATGGCCAACATGTTTCATGTGGGTATGGGTCAACACTAAACCAGCAGGGGCCGCAGGTTTTCGTCCTTGGTTTTATTTAGCTGGGTTCCATTTTGGGACCTATTTTTGATCCACAGCCATGTTAGTTCATGCACCTGACCAGATCAACTAGCTGACAGAACCGATTTGACCGCTTGCCAAGCGCACCCACATGGTAGTAGCTCAAAGGAACGAAGCGCCACTTTCTTAACTTTTGCACCGCCAAAGAATCCCTGGAATGATTCGATTCCCGTGTAAATGCCAACAACCAATGGTTTCCCATGGTTTCAAAGCGGGGCATTTCGTCCATCCACAGTATGGTAGTAGGTTTAAGGAACGAAGCGCCACTTTCCTAACTTTCTCACTTTGATTACCCCCAGAACAGCTCCGCGGGACCCCAAATCTACATTCTAGCAGGCCTGGCCAGATCTTCCTGAGGCTGCAGTGCAGTGCAACACTCTCTCTCTCTCTCTCTCTTTCTTGTCAAACTACATGCTTCACTTGACACTTGTGTTGCATGTCTGTATACTACCGCAGGCCTTGAGTCAGGACTACGCATGAGTCAGTACCAAGGTTGGCAGCTGCAGACTACATTGTTTGTGTTGGTGATAACACAACAGCACTTGCACTTCAGTAAAAGTATCAACTGATTTTAACGTGGTAGCGGAGCTGAGATCCTACGCATAGGGGAGCTCCAGTACACAGCAGTAAGTACAACAACTGCAACGGCAAGCATATGCCCAACTACTACGACATGTCAGGAGAACCGGCAGCAGCATCAGCTCAGCCCACCTACAGGAACAGGAGTGACACAGGAACAAGACGACGTCCAAAGACTACACAAGTACAAACGCAAGTACAAACTGCCACCACCGTTCTTCACTGGTGACTACTCCCAGTATGAAGAGTGGCTGTTCAAACTACAAGCATATCTCGGACTCATCGACCGAGACTTCGACATGGTACTACAACTAGCACAAGTTGCTACAAGACAAATTGATGATGCAGACATCAGAGCCCACATACGCGACCCTACACAAGCAACAAAAGCAGTAGACCTCTCAAGAGACCTACACTACATCCTCATCAACATATGTCAAGGTGCAGGAGCTACAGTAGTACGACAAAACCGCTACAACGCCAATGGATGTGAAACACTACGACTTTTGCACAACAGGTTCAGCCTACCAGTAGGAACACGCAGTGTTGGTTCCCTCACCAAACTACTGGAACCTACATTCAATGAAGCACAGTTTGAGGAACAATTCCTACAATGGGAATACGACATCAACCGCTACGAGATTGACAACGGCACAGCACTACCAGATGGAGTGAAGATTGCAATGCTACTCAACAAGACCAAAGGAGCACTTCAACAACATCTCCAACTACGTGCTGGACAGATCACGAACTACAACGAGATCAGAGTGGTCATCCTGGACTACTACAAGACCATATCAGCATTCTCAAGAGCGAGCTCAGCAGTTGGCACAAACTACAATGGTGGAACAGCACCAATGGATGTTGACAACATATGGAGGAAAGGAAGAAACTACAAAGGCAAAGGAAAAGGAAAAGGCAATTACAAGGGAAGCAAAAGCAAAGGCAAGTACAGGAGCAAAGGTCACTACAAAGGATTCGACAAAGGCAACCAAGGAAACTACAACAAAGGAGGACACAACAAGAGCAAAGGAAAAGACTACTCAGGCTCCAAAGGATATGGATCAAGCAAAGGCTACAAAGGCCAAGGAAACTACAGCAAATCAAAAGCAACATGCCATCGATGTGGCAAGCCTGGCCACTGGGCACAAGACTGCAGAGTGCCAGTATGGCACATAGGAGAAGGAGAAGAACTACATCCACTAGAACAAGAACAAGCAGATCATGACAACAATGAAGAACTACCTCAGGATGTGAACGACACCTGGGACTGGTACTACGAAGGAGAAGAAGGACAACACGAGGTGAACTACATGGAGAAGAACTGGAACGACTACGGCTATGACAACAGCTGGGATTGGAATGACAACAGCTATGAGGACACAGCAAACTGCATTGGAGGCATCGAAGAGTCACACCTCACCATTGGACACATCAGTTGGACACATCAGACAAGCAAAGTCACGACTACACAAGCACAAACCCAAATCACTACTTGGGAAAAGATCAACCCATACAACATCATGGAATGACCACAGCATCAATTACCAACAATACCTACAAGAGGACAAGCCACAACTACACCTCAACATTGCAGCAGCAACACAACAACAGAAACAGCGAACACTTGATGACAATATCACTCACTACATCATGTACTCCAACTTCAAGTCTTACCACCACTTACTGATTGACTCAGGAGCGTCTACACACGTTTGCCCAAAGGACTACTCACCGGTTCTTCCACTACGACCTTGTGGAGAATCAGTTCCACAACTCTACACAGTGACCAACAAGAAGAGCCCCGTCTACGGCATCAAGTACGTTCCCTACAAGCAGGACAACTTCAGGATCATGATAACCTACTACGTTTGCGATGTGAAGTATCCAATCCTCAGTGCATCAAGACTACTTGATAAAGGATATGGACTCGACTTCAATCCACGACACTGCACCATCACACATGGACAACAACAAGGGTTCGACATTTACCCAATGACCACAGACAATGGAAAATCCATTGCTGTGATTCAACCTACAGAGAAAGCAACACAACAACAAGAACAAATTGCAGCACTCACCCACACAGACCAAGGACTGCGACAGATCCTTGGTGAAAACACTGACTACTGGAAACTTGATGGTGACTACGCCATCAGAGTACACAAACGACCACGCAGAGCGTTGTTCACACCACACAACAGTGGTTGCCCAATACCAGAAGGAGAGCTAGATGATTGGCGACTAACCATCATCAACAGACAAGGGCAAGAGCAAGAACAACTACAAAAGAACCCAACACAACTTTCCAAGCAAGAACTACAACGAAGACTAGAAGGTGACAACTGGACTGGAGAAACCAGATTCAGAAGAAAAGTTACACCTACCCGCAGAGCAACATCAAAGACTACACCAACAAGGCAGAGCTCACAACTAATGACTAATGGACACACCACCAACCAGATCAAAGATCCAACTACGAGCACCACAAAAGATATGGAGACCCAAAGCAGCACCTTCTACAAATCTTGACACCACACAACCAAAGGAGACAATCCACAGACCACTCACAGCACAGGAGGACAACCAAGACTACTGGGAAAGACAAGGTGAACACTGGATAAGACACCACACAACACTTAGAACAACTCTCTTTACTCCAACAGATGGACCAGGACATCCACCAATCAGCACACTTGAGCCTCACAGAACTACAATCACTCACAACAACTTTGGAGAAGTTTCACAACGCAAAGATGACTGGACAGTCATGGGCAACGAAGCACTACCATTCCAATGGAAAGGGACAACAAGGTTCAACGTGAAGAAAGACTACGAGTACATCCAGGAGCGCCACGATGAGGAACAACAACACGAGCATCATGAAGCACACAGAGCAAGAGGACTACGACAACCACAGCAGCCCACTCCACAACAAATAGCAGAACACAATCTTACACATCTACCATACAGAAACTGGTGTCCAATTTGCGTTCAAGGCAAAGGACGCCAAGACAACTACAAGAAACAACAATCACGACAACCCGTCATTCAAGTAGACTTCGCCTACATCACAACAAGACCCAAAGACCATACCAGTCTTAACAGCAGTTGATGTTACTACACAACTGTGCATGGCGGTATTGGTTCCGGACAAACCTTCGATGATGGATTACATGACCAACAACCTACAAGCATTCATCTTTGAGTGCGGAAGAACACAAGGCATACTACAAAGTGACAACGAAGACACACTCAATGCACTACTTAAAGCAACAGCATCTAAAGTCGGCTCAATGACTGTACGACACTCACCGTCCTACAGCAGCAACCGTCAAGGAAGCGTTGAGCGACTACATAGAACACTCCTCAGACAAATCCGCGTCGTCAAAGCGCAAGTTGAAAGCAACTACAGCATGACGATGTCCACAAAGCACTGTCTACTACCTTGAATGGTACGACATGCAGCATGGACGGTAAATCGCTACGTCATCCACTCAGACAGCTACACAAGCTTTGAACGCCGCTGGGGAAGAAACTACGAGCGAGCAATCTGCGAATTTGGCGAGACACTACTTTACCTTGCACCACAACACAAGAAACTTCCAAAAGCAGACCTACGGATGCAGAAATGGCGTACAAAAAGTGCGAACAGTACGGAGACTACAACCGGACTTCAAATGCGATCTCGCACTGTTGAACAAAGTTTCCGGCACACCATGGGCACCACGACGGAACACCTACAACCCGTCGTTCGCAACACTGTTGGATACGCAACTACAACCGTCAGAGAAAAGAAGGTCCACGCAAGATTTTGGACAACAGACGAACGCGACGGACGACATAGTTGCGGAACCCGCAACAAAACAACAACGCACTACACCACCTCCACGACTTCCGTCTACATCGACGTCAAGTTCACGACCACTACCGGATAGTCCTATGGCTACTTCACCAACCGGATGACAACATCCACCACTACCAGCACCACCACTTCGACAAGCGCTACGACGTATGACTCCGGAAGAAGTGATGCAACCGACCAAAGCACAAAAGACATCAAAGGACACTACAATCAGATCAACGGAGCAAGCAACCAAAGAACCACAACCACTACGACAGAAAATCAACGCAGTGACACTTCCCAACGGAACATCCATCACTCCCTACACAAACGACGACACCTCAGAAGATCAACCCATAATCTTCGACAACGAAGGTTGTGACGAAACACAACTACTGGAAGGAATGAAACACGAGTCAAATCAAATGAAACTACACGACGTCTACGACGAAGTAGATGCGTCTACTGTCAATGACAACATCCTAAAAGAAGCGATACCTACAAGATGGGTACACAGAAAGAAAGGACCAGGAGTACGAAGCCGGATCGTCGCAAAAGGCTACACGGAGAAGATCGAGGACGAAGACTCCGTCTACGCCTCTACACCAATGTTCACGACGCTCCGGACACTTCTCGCACTACAAATGTCACGACCAAACTGGATCGCGTGACTAGGTGACGTCTCTACAGCATTTCTACACGCACCCATCGCAAAAGACCACGACGGTAAACAACGTGACGTCTACCTTTGCCCACCTAAAGAACTTTGTCCACAACAGGACAAAATCTGGCGACTAAAGAAAGCGTATGGACTACGCAGTTCACCAAAAGCATGGCAGGACTACCTGGCTGAAGTGAGTTACAAGCTCAGCTTTGTAAGACTAAAGTCAGAACCTAACGTCTACACCAATGCGACCCGCGACTGCTACATCATGGTCTACGTGGACGATCTACTGGTACTTGGAGACAAGACTGCGGTCGACTGCACTTTCGAGGCCGTCCAGAAGCAGGTCCTACTCAAGCACATCGGCTACCTCGAACCTGGCAAACCCCAACAATTTCTTGGAAGAAACATCGACAACTACTGCAACCTTGGACTAAAGGACTCCTACATCGACAACATGATCGAGGAGTCTGGAATGAACAGCTGCAATTCAGTGAACACTCCAGGAATTGCCCACTACAAACCAACATTAGAAGATGAAGCACTTCTTGACCACGAACAACACAAAAGGTACAGAAGGATTGTTGGCAAACTTCAATGGTTAGCATACACCCGACCAGACATCGCATACTCTACAAAAGAACTGGCACGAGACCTCACAGCACCTACAGAACTTTCACAAAAGAGAGTCAAACATTTACTACGCTACTTGCACGGCACCAAGCACTACAAATTCACCATAGAACCAACAACACCACTCAGAGCAAGCACCAACAACATCCTGGATCTCGACGTCTACGTCGATGCGGATTGGGCAGGATGCCCTACTACCAGGAAATCCACTTCAGGCTTTAACATCCACTTCCTTGGAACTACAGTTGCATTCGGCAGCAGAACGCAGGCTACAATAGCCCTAAGCTCAGCAGAATCTGAACTCTACGCAATCTGCACTGGAGTTAATGAGGGACTACAGCTCAGAAACTTTCTACTTGAAACCAACATTTGCAGCAAACTCAACCTACGCATCCACACAGACTCCACAGCAGGCAAAAGCATAGCTACACGACAAGGCGCTAGCAAACGAGCAAAACACATCGACCTCAAATTTCTTTACACCCAGGGGTTCATCAAGCACGACATCATTCGAATCCTCAAGATCAATACACTACACAACAGTTCAGATTTGTTCACCAAATACATCAGCAAAGAAACACTACAAAGGCTCATACAGAGCATTGGCATACGCATTTAGCACCACGAACGACTGTTTCACAACACGACCAACAACATGTATGTGATCACATGTAACAGTTTGTAAGTAAGTAAAGTAACTACAAGTAATGTCACTTGCACTTTTGGCGGCATGAATTTGGCGGCTACAGTCAACACCACATTTGTTTGTTTTACTACATGTCTGCATGCGCCGCATGCCTGATTGCCACTACTCAGGCTCACTTCGTTTTGCCCCGTTTCACTACTTAGGTCCAACTGCAGCCATGGCCGCTTCGTCTGCAGAGGCTACAACGGAGGTTGGAATCACTACTGGCACCAGTGATCGTGGATCACTACCCATGCCAGGCTACAGGGAGACCAACTACCGTTTCAATCACACTACGCCCAACACCACTCCACACTACAACCCGGCAGCCACCATGGAGCAACTACACATCACAGAGCACCACACCACACACACACACGCACACCAGCTCACCACGACGACAACCACTACGTTTAGCTATACACTGCCTATACACTGCAATTACTCTTGAAGAGTATCAACTACTTTCACTACAGCGATCAACACCACGTTCACAACTCGACTACACACTACCCGTTCAGTGCATCCCGGGTGATCTCAGGATGCCGCACTACGACTCAACTTCACTTAGCACTGCACTTGCAGAGGCGTGCAATGTCACACTACCACCTAACCACTTCAATGCGCATCACAACCAACGACTACAACAACTACATTGTTGTTCGACTACGCGTTGAACAAGGACTATTTTTGAGATTCCTTATCTCTGGACAGTTTGTCCAGACTACAAGGGGCTCCATTTTCAATATGCTGTCCATCCAGGCCAAGCGCTACATTTCAACTGCACCATTTTCACAATGCATCTACAAGGTGAACTACGACATGAAGGAGTTCACTAATGTCTACAGTTTGAAGAATAACTACATTTGGGACAATCACATGCCTTTACTATTGCCCAATCTCCTGCACTACCTCTACAGCAACGACCAACTCCATGACTTTCAGTACAAAGCCATCACTACGATTCTTTGCAGAAGCATCCAACACTACGGATTCACACTACTCACAATGACCAACATGACATCACAACGAAAGAATCAACTACATCGATTCCTCAGAGACCACAATCTACGGATACCACTTCCAGAAGTTGATGATGACCAACTACTCGGTACCCCAAACTACGTGACCAACTACTTCATTGCCAACTACTTTGAATCCTTGGACAGAAGAATGCAGATGGTTCACAACTACCGGACTCAGCATTGGAGACTGCACATTTGAGCCAAAGGCTCAACTACATCAAGTAATACCTCATCAACTCCGTTCAGTCCCACTACATTCTGGACTGAATCCCGAACAGCATGAGTTACTGAGGACTACACCTTTTTGTCTCACTACAGTAGCATCGATGAATAACAACGGTTTTCATCACTACAGACAATCTTTTGTTTTCGACTCCAGTTATAAAGGTTCTACAGAAAAGACCTTTTAACTGAGGGGCTGTGTCAAACTACATGCTTCACTTGACACTTGTGTTGCATGTCTGTATGCTACCGCAGGCCTTGAGTCAGGACTACGCATGAGTCAGTACCAAGGTTGGCAGCTCCAGACCACATTGTTTGTGTTGGTGATAACACAACAGCACTTGCACTTCAGTAAAAGTATCAACTGATTTTAACGTTTCTCTCTCTCTATCTCTCTCTCTCTCAATCGGCCTGCTCCTGTCAAGCGTAGCCTAAAACATGCAATTCGGGAGGACGGGGTTCACCCCCAAAAAGTCCGGCTGTACATCCCCTACCTCGGCACTCTCCGCCGTCGGGTGAAAAGGCTCCCTACTAAATGGGGCCAGTAGAGATTTCTTTTGCACACTTCCGGTGACTCTTTGGCTGAGGGGGCTTCTTCTCGCGCAGTCAATCACAGCATGTCAGAGGTAAAGCCGTTGACAAAGATATTGGTGGCCTATGGTTCGCTGCGGCCGGCACTATTGATTGCTTCGGACTCGTGGTTTGGTGGCTAAGCATATTTTCCAATTGACCCTCCACAAGAACCAGAGGGTTAACTCCGTGCCGCAAACCACCAACCCAAACCACAAATTGAGGGATACTGGACAGAGCCTCTCTCAGCTCTGCCAGTCCTCTGGGAATGTCAAATGTGGAAGGGGACGTCGGACCCAGTTGGGTCTTCTTCAACAGCTCAATGACCTCTCTGTCTCCTTTTTGCGAGGGGGGGGGTGCTCTCTGAATTGGTCCCGTTTTGTGGCTGAAGGGAAGCCAGACAAAAAAACCGCCGCGCCTTTTTAGCACCTGGGCCGACTCCAATTTTGAGAAACACCCCCCCAACAAGAGATATATATATATATATAAGCAATTTGGAGAAGCACAAAACAAACAAAAACGCAAGCGCCCAGCCAAGCCCCTAAGCCCTAAGGCCTAAAAACCCCAGCTTTTTTCGTGGCCAGGGGCCGGGGTCAACCTGGGCGGTTGGCTGGTGCTAGAGGACTGGTTCTTCAGCGGCTCCAGCGGCAGCCGCTCAGCTCAAAGGCAAGCAACGGCTCCCGCAGCGGTGACTTTTTTCTCTACTGCTACGCCTCTCTCAGCCACCAAGACTTGAGGGGCACACAGAATATGTGTTCTGATTCTGTTGCATATTTGTTACCCTTCCACCCACTGCCCCTGGAAGACCAGTTTCATCTTAAAGGAACCGCCTAGGTGCTATGTTAGTGGGAGGGAGGGTATCGGGTTGGATCTTTAGACTTTAACTTCTTGGATTCCCCTCATATTTTCTTTTAACCAGCAAAAAGTTTAACCTTTGCTGGGGAATCTACTGCACCCAAGTTTTTGTCGTTGGGTTGCTCCCCCGCTCTTCAGCTGCAGCTGTGCGACTGCTTCCTTTTGTGGATGTTTTGTTTGAAGGGGGAAGATACCGTCAGGTACCCCTTAATCGGTGGTTTGGGTTGGTGATTTGGGGATTTGAACCCCAATCCACCAAAGCAACACGAGCAACTTAGAGGGAAGCTGACAACAGCAACTTTCCTGCAAACGAGCGGCGAGGGCTTTTGGAAGACCAGTTCGGCGTCGGTTTGTCCACGCTGTTGGCGGAAGCAGGGTCAATCTGCGTAAACACCCCTGAATAACTTGGAACCCACTTTCAGGCGTTTAGGGCTTAGTGGTAGTTTCCATTTAACCCACTAAAAGTTAAACTTCCCTACCAGCTGGTTTTTCTACGGGTCCGGCACGCCCTGAAATTATGAACCTTTTTGGACGGGTGTTTTTTGAAAAGACTTGGCAAAATGGTAGTTTTGCCTTTTGGTTTCCCTTTGAACCACCAGACAAGGGATTCCAACTCCAAAGAGAGACTTGGACGCTGTCCAACGGGAAACTTCCAGAAGCCAGCGACTTCTGAAAGGGGATCTGAACTCCAAGTGAATGGCCAGTCTGCCGGAAGTGATGTTTTCTGTGCGGCTGTCTTTTTTTGGTGTACTGTGGATTAAAAACCTCCTGCACCAAATTGAAACCATGGTTGAAACCATTGTTTGTTGGTATTTACAAGATAGTCATCATCCCATGGTTTCTGAACGGAGGTGCAGGATTTCGTCCATCCACAGTATGTTTGGGATGGTCATTTGTTTTGGTTATTTGCTCTCTCGCTCAAAAGAATCCGAGGCCTGGTGACGTCAAGCGGCGTGGGCCAGGGCCGCGCGCCGAGATGTCCGATCCAAGCCTAGTGGTTTTGCATTTTTTCCCGACCAAGGGGGAGGTCTTACCATTTTGAGGAACATGTCTTAGTCTTAAGGTTTAAAACATCGGAATGGGGTTGTGGGGGACGAACAAAAAGGAAGTGATCATAAGATATGAATGTGGCCAGTTTGCCCTATAGTAGAAACGTGATGTCCGAAGCCGTGCAGGTTTCTATGGTCTCCAGAAGATTCTATATTTCAGAATAGACTAAACGTGGAATGTGAGAACGGATCGACTGTCATCTACGGGAAGGGAGCTGACATGGGGACTTTCACCAAGGAAATGGAGGTACTCACGTTTCCATCGTTGGGCACAGTGAATATTCACTGTGGCTCATGTGACAACATCCGTTCCTTTCACTAGTGCTGGGCGCCGATCGGCACCATTTGGCAGGTATCTGTCAGTATTCCTAGGGTTTCATGCATGCCAAGAGGTTCTGAAGCATGCACATGTTTGGCCATCCACATGAGCATCCCTCAGCTTAGTTTCGAAGTTGTAGAGAACAGAGGCCCATCTTTGGTGTCCCAAGATGCTGAAGGGAGTGCTTCTGGAATGGCAAGCTGGCAGGAGGGTTTGAAAGCCTGTCCATTTGAGAAGGCCTCTTTTGCGCCTGTTGCAAACAGAGTAGCTGGTTCACCCGGGATTGATCGGTATATTATATCTCCGATTCAGTTCGTTTCTGGGGTGGGCAGGACTTGGTTAGTCATTTGAACTGGGCGTGCCCCCCTTTCCTTGAGGCCTTAGGTTCTCGACCCCGATGATTATCAGGGAGCCGACAATCAGCTCCAGTCATCGAAATGCCACACCCAAAGCAATCCACACAAAAGCATGAGCCCCACACAATTCAGACCCAGGCACTCCATTTGCCAGCCAACACCCTTTGACCATCCAGGCCTCGTGAGCTGAAGGGACCTGTTTCAAGGGACTCCAGTGGGCCTCAAGCAGCTCTCAAGCTCTCAAGCAGCACAACCTGTCCCATGTTCCGGAGGATACTCGGACCAAACACATCCCCAATGCAGTACTTAAGTGCCTCGATTTGGTTAAAAACAGAGGCGAAACCATGGAACCCCCAGAGCGGAGGTTTAAAACCCAAAATTTGGCAGTGGCTCGAAATTCAAACACCGGGAATTGGACCGCAAATCTTAGTCAACTTGTTTCCATTTAACGATGGGGCAACCCATCTTGGGTCCCTGGACCCTCAAACTACCCCTTCAAATGGTGAAATCGCCTCATTCTTTGTTGGAAGACAACCCATTTTTAGTCGGATAGTTTGAAATCACCTCATTTTTGTTGGGGCAACCATGTTTAGTCAAGCTGTTTTTTTGTGGGTCCAGGCACCTACTTTTGACTCCCCACACCCAGATGCATCCCCACCCGCCCAGCTCCGACGTGAGCTGAGGCCGATGCCTGCCGCCCTTGGTCCACGACTTGGAGGAGCCTTGGCCCTCTGAGGGCGTCTTGGCCTTCCGGCTCAACGCCAGCAAGGGCCAGGCCGGACGCGAGCCTCCGGCGAGAGCCGATGAGAAGCGAGGGTGTGCGAGGGCAATCCTTCCTGGAACCGAAGAGTCCATCGAGACCGCCACTTTTGGAACGTCATTAAGAGAAACGCGGAGGTGTCCGCGAGTCGGTTTTCCCTTCTTGGAACCTCCCAAAGTGGCAGGTTTCCACTGGGAAAGCACCGGTACACTTGCAACTGTTGAAGGGGTCGCTGGATGTCCTCTAAGGCTCTAAGGTTGCAATTTGCTGGTGGTTTCCACCACAACGAAAAGGGCGGCACTTTTAGAAGTCCAGAAAAAGGAAATGGAGGGACACTCGCTTTGAGCACAGAATTGTTTGGCGGTCCTTGCTCAGCTTTCCGAGCCATTCCGCCTTTTGGAACCTCCAAAAGTGGCAGGTTTCCATGGGAAGCCATCCGACCATTGCAACTTGAGGCCAAGATCCAGTGATCCCTGTTCTATTGTGACCCCTGACCTTTGCGCAGGGGCTTAGCTTTTTCCATCGCCTGGGGAACCGGAGCGCCCGAGCCTCGCGCGCTAAAAAATTCAGGCGGAGACGGTGAGGGTCTTCGAGGCGCACCGTAGCCACTTCTTGGCGGAGGACGATTTGCGGAAGATCGCGGAAAGTGGCATCACCACAGCAGCTTCACGGAATGGGTGTGTCCTCTTTTTAGGGCATCTGGACCCGAAAGAACTACCCATGAAAAAAAAGGCAAATCACCAACCATGATTCTGGGTTGCGATAACCCCATTGTACGGGTAGTTTGAGGGTCCGGGTACCAGGCTTTGGGTGGTTTAAAAGATAATTCAGAGCGTCCGCGCTCGCAAGCTGCACGCCGATGCGAGGTACGACTGCCCCTCACTTGGGCGGCCTTCGCTGACGCCTTGGCTCCTTTGAGCCTCGGCCGACACGAATGCGCCGGGTGCTTCCGATGCGCACAAAGTTGTAAGGGCGACCGTTTGGTTGCCCACTTCGAATTGTCCCCCAGCTTTGGTGGGGTTCACCTTACAAAGGGGGTCAAACAACTTCAAGGGGTTTTTCACCCCCAAGCTGTCCACGAACTTGGCCGAACATCCAAACACTGGTCCCTGTTTTCGTTTCCAACAAATTGGGGGCCCCTATTGCGGAACCGGCCCTACAACCAGAGTGCTTGGGCGACTTCTAGCGCCCGGCCGGCCCAGGCAACTCCTTGGGCTTCCGACCATTTGTTGCTCGACATCAAGCTATCATACTGATGGACAAAATCCATTTCGCTCCAAATTATTCAGCCATGGTTGAAACCACTGTTTGTTGGTATTTACAAGAGAATCAGATCATCCCATGGTTTCTTAGGTGGTGCAGGATTTCGACCATCCACAGTAGGTGGTCCTTTTGGCTTAGTGTGGTTGGAATAGGGTTCCACTGGTTTAGATTGGTTTTATGCCCCATCTACTAGTGCCATCTATTTTTCCACAAGGTCACTTCTGTAAGCCATGCGTTGATTCAAAGGTTGTTCCAACCACTCTCTGACAACGGCTCTTTGTTCAGAATTCTATGGCCTGCAACTTTGAGGTGAGGTGACAGGCATTCAAAAGGGGGTCGAATCAAGACTTGAGGCTCTCAGCGGCCAAGACCCATCAGCCCAAGAGTTGAAGTCTTCCCTCTTTCCAGGGCTGGAGTAGTGTGGAACTCATCTTCGTGAAACGCCTTTACGTTTGGTTGGAAAAGGGTACACATCGGGACTCCCGGAAAATTGGTTGGCAGCCGCATGGGACGTCTTAGTTCAGAGAGTGCGCCCCCTTTTCACATTCCTTGCGCCGAAAGTTAGGCCCCCTCCAGGAAGGTCTCATGATCATTTCCATCCAAAAGAACGGCACCAGCCGTGACGCTACGTTTGATCGACGTTTTCCAGGCGATGAAGGGCCTTTGTGTGACTTGTTTTGTGACCTGTTTTCCTGTTAAGACAAATCATCTTGGACACACATGAGAGAACTGTTCGAAGGATATCCCAGTTTCTTCCTGGAGAAACGGATGGAAATGGCGTGCAAAAGCCACACAAGTTGGGGCTTTTTGGTGCTTGTTACCACAGAAACCCCAAAAGGGGCTTTGCGGGTTTGGGCTGGGAATTCCAAGGAGCCCCATCTACTCGTCTTACGACCCGGAGCACGAGAGCGCTCTGGTACCTGACCCCTTCTACCTGGACAAGGCGTGGACCCATCCAAGTGGGAGGGTTGCAAAGCAGACGTCATGTCAAGCCGTGAGTCATGAAGGCTTTCAGACAAAAAGTCGAGCCACCCCATGTGGCTGCGGGTCAAAGAGAGATACCCAAAACAAAACCCTGGTAAACGGAAACATGGATGAAAACCTGCAGTCCATATCCTCGTAGTTTCATTTTGCCGCATGCCCATGCACTACAATAAGGTCAGAGCCCTTTAATTCCCTCAAAATAGACAAAAAGGAAAAACACGTGGGTACCATCTTATTCTCACCTCTCAAAACTGGAGGACCTAGATTTGGGCCGCCGGAGAAAAAAAGAGAAACAAACATCGCCCTCCGCCTCAGGCGGCCCTGGTGACCATCCGCCGGGACCTGGTGGCGGACTTTCTGCGCCAAGCCGCGGAGATGGGCCTCCAGGCGCGGCCTGACGCGAGCGGCGCCGCCTCTGCGCCTCTGGGCCTCTGGGCCTCTCGGGCGCGGGTGGATATGGATGGGTCTCAAATGGGTGGGCAAGCGCTTGGGCGGTTGTAAAATGGGTCGAGGTGGGAGGTCAAAATGTTAGGCTCGTTTTGGTTGAGGCCCCGAAGCCCTGAGAGTTTTGGTTTGGCCTGACCTGAAATGGTTTGGCCTGGCCCCAAGAGCCTTTGAGTTTTGAGGGCCTTTGACCAAAGACCTGAAATACTCAGGTCTTGGGCGCGTGGCTCGGGGTGGTTTCTCTTTAAAACGACCACAGCAAGCGTACCGACTCCAAAAAAGACACCCAGACATGTCCATGCAATCTAAAGGTTGGAACCACCTCCAAAGTGGTTGGCGGACATGAATCCCAACCAAAATCTAATGTCCACCATTTCGGGTCCGGAGCCCATGAAAATTCACACCCAAATGGGGTTGTTTCCATAGATGGAGTTGTTTTACGGGGTTCCCAACCTTTGTTTTTACCAAACTGCGGCGGTCACAGAGTGGGTTTCTCTTTTTTGAGGGCGGACCCTGTTTTTGGTTGAACCCCCAAATGGTGTTTTTGGGCACATGAAAACCATACTGTCTAACTTCCCTGAAAGCCTTCAAGGAAACTCAAACGGGGATGAATCTTTTTGTTTTTT